TGTGTGTCTGTGTGTCTGTGTGTCTGTGTGTCTGTGTGTCTGTGTGTCTGTGTGTCTGTGTGTCTGTGTGTCTGTGTGTCTGTGTGTCTGTGTGTATGTGTGTCTGTGTGTCTGTGTGTCTGTGTGTCTGTGTGTCTGTGTGTCTGTGTGTCTGTGTGTCTGTGTGTCTGTGTGTCTGTGTGTCTGTGTGTCTGTGTGTCTGTGTGTCTGTGTGTCTGTGTGTCTGTGGGTCTGTGTGTCTGTGTGTCTGTGCGTCTGTGTGTCTGTGTGTCTGTGTGTCTGTGTGTCTGTGTGTTTGTGTGTCTGTGTGTGGTCTGTGTCTGTGTCTGTGTATGTGTCTGTGTCTGTGTCTGTGTCTGTCTGTCTGTCTGTCTGTCTGTCTGTGTTTGTGTGTGTGTGTGTGTGTCTGTCTGTGTGTGTGTGTGTGTGTGTGTGTGTCTGTCTGTCTCTGTGTGTGTGTGTGTGTGTCTCTGTTTGTGTGTGTGTGTGTGTGTGTGTCTCTGTGTGTGTGTGTCTCTGTGTGTGTGTGTCTCTCTCTCTCTCTGTGTCTGTGTGTGTCTGTGTGTGTCTGTGTGTGTCTGTGTGTGTCTGTGTGTGTCTGTGTGTGTCTGTGTGTGTCTGTGTGTGTCTGTGTGTGTCTGTCTGTCTGTCTGTCTGTCTGTCTGTCTGTCTGTCTGTCTGTCTGTCTGTCTGTCTGTCTGTCTGTCTCTGTGTCTCTGTGTGTGTGTGTGTGTTGCTTGTCGTTCTCAGCTGGAAAGGGTTTTGTGGAGGCCTTCCGGTTGTAGGATGTCCAAACTTGGTATGCAGTGCTCTTCCATACATTCCGAGCTGGGATCATCTACCCTCTCCCAGGCATCGTTTTGCCCCAATCTCTGGGTCTGGGACGGCATGTGCGTCACGGTTCCCAATGTGCTCGTGAGGATCTCCTGATAGACCAAGAGTACTCTCTAGGCATGAAAGGGGTACCCTTTGTAGTTAAAGGGGTCTATACCTCCAGGGATAGCACTGTCTGACACGAAACAACCCTACCGATCCCGCACACACACACACACACCCACGCACGCACGCACGCACGCTCGCACGCACACACGCACACACGCACACACGCACACACGCACACACGCACACACGCGCACACGCACGCACACACACACACACACACACACACACACACACACACACACACACACACACCCGCGCGCGCGCATACACACACACACACAGATTAAGGAAGAGTCTGAAGCTGGGCCTGACATGGATTTTGCGTAAATGCGGGGCCCCAGATTGTCATATTTGAGGCCACACCGGGGGACACCAAAACTCAAAACACTTGGAAATACTGTAAATCCCCACGCCCTCGATGTAGAACTGGGAGGGCTCAGGAAGCGGTCTTCACCGATATGATTGGAGACTACTCAGCCCTAAGCCCCAAACAATCCTGAAGTCCTGTTTCAAAGCGAAGGAACTTCTCTCTTCTCACGCGAAACCCCCAACCACCCCTGGCAGCCTATAAGCCGTACCAACCTGGCACTCTATGAACCCTTTTAAACCAATACATCGTGTATAGGAAGGCGCTCTTCAAGCCTGAACATGCTCCCGTCCATGACCCTGTAGAGCACGAAAGGCCGAAATACCCTGCGAGCCGTCTAAACCCCGACAAGCCCGATCAACAAAAAACCACAAAGCCCTGAAAATCCCCAGAAGGTCCAGGAAAACCTACAAGCCTGGAACCTAAACCTTAAACCTTAAACCCTAAACCCGAAACTCACACTGGTAAGCATTACGCATAAACCCTCGAAACCCAAGGTCTGTCCTTGGACTCACCCTCCAAGACTCTGGCAAGGCCGAAGTCGCAAACCTCTTCCGCTCCCAAGGTTATATATATATATATATATTTTTTTTCATTTTTTTTTGAGGGGGGGGCTAGGGGTTAGGGTTGAGGGTTAGGGTTTAAGGTTTAGGGGGTGGGGGGGATTCAAGGGATTTGGGGGGTGTTGCGGATTTCGGGCTTTGGGGCTTAAGGGCCTTGGGGGGTCTGGGGATGTAAGCGTTTGAGGTTCAGGGTTTTTAGTGATTCAAACCCAAAACCCCCGTTCTCAGGCTATTTGTCACTGCCGTACCCTCGACACACCTTGCAGACGTAGCCCTTCGGCACCGGCATGGACCTGAGTTCAAGTGACTCCGGCTCGTCGATCGCTTGGTATGCTTGCTACAGTCGCACCAAAGTTACTGGGACGTGGAGGAAGTCAAAAATAAGTTACCATAATCAGGGTACAGTACTGCATTACTTGCTCTAACCCTTTTATGGTAACTTCAGTTAGTTTCTCCAGCTGGTAACAAGAAAGACAAAGGCTACCAGTTCCATCATCAGTTTGAGAGAACAGTCCTCACACAGGATGCAGAACTGTGAGCGCCGCTACACTCAAATGTCCAAGGGCAGCTCTTGAGGAGAACGTTGTTGCCGGTCAGGTCGCCGTGGATGATGTTGATGTCATGCAAATACTGGCCGGCCTTTGCCGCTGCTATAAATGATGATATCACTACTAGCACATGCTACATTCTTGTAGATGACTAACAATACAAACACATAATATAGTACACCATGTTAAACTTCATTATGTTACAATATGTTGTTTTATATTGTGCTACAGCATATGTTTATGTATGTATATCTTTTTATGTTGCTATAGCAATACACTACATTGTTGCATATTCAAAATTGACTGAACTGCTCTTCTGTATTCGGATAAACGGATTATGCTGTTAACCCCTCGTGCGGCTCCTGGTCTTCAATAGCCTAAGCATCTGAGGACCCGACTCGCGCGATCTCGATGCATATCTCCAAGGCCTCTAGCAGGTCCTCGTGATCGCAATGCGCAACGCGCTGTGGGCCATTGCAGACTCGCAGAAGGCTTAGGGTTTATAGGGCTTCGGGAGAAACGAGCAGGGAGCAACCTGGTCGTGGAGCCTTGGGCTTACACAGCGTCCACCTGCGCAAGCACTCGTTTGTCTACGAGTCATCGGCAACTCAGATGCCCAGCCGAGACATCATCATACAAGTGCTTGCAGGAAACTGAGGGTTCGCACGCAAAGTGCCGCCGTCACACCATTCCTCTGCATCGGAATTCTGACTAACATCGCTGGAAGACTGATGTGGGTGTGTTTTGCTTGAGCTCACTTCTAGAGGCAACAGGCCTTAAGCCTAGACCGCCCCCCCCCCCCTTCCACTGTAGAGTCCTGGACGATCCAGGTTTCAAAGACGTTGGCGATGTCCTTTGCCTGAATGATATTCATATTAACATGATGTTGAAACAATATGAATATTAAATAGTGAAAAAATATTGATGAAATATGAAAACTGATAAATTGAAATTACATGTGTATATATGTATATGGCTGCTAATGATGTATACGAACTTCTAGTACAACTCCTAATACACACATATCAGAATCATATGTCATAATGTATCGTTGTAAATCATTCTACACACTATACATACATACATACATACATACATACATACATACATACATACATACATACATACATACATACATACATAATACATACATATACATATATATATATATATATACTATATATATATCTACAGAGAGAGCATACTCTCTTATTTGCTGCACAGGAAAGATGTCGAGCTTGGGGATGCTTAGTGATGGTTTTGGGGTTGGGCGGTTCGGGGATTAGGGTTCAGAGTGGGGAGGCTGGGGTTCTAAACCCTAAACCCTAAACCCTAAACCCTAAACCCTAAACCCTAAACCCTAAACCCTATGGTTCTGGGGTTCTGGGATTCTCCGGCCTCGTCTCCGGCATTGGCACTCAGGGACTTCACTCTGCCTCCGTGCTTGAAGGTCTGGACCTTTGGATTTAGGGTTTAGGGTTTATAGGGTTTAGGGTTTAGGGTTTAGGGTTTAGGGTTTAGGGTTTAGGGTTTAGGGTTCAGGGTTCCGAAACCATGTGAGCTTTACGCAAGTGAAGCCTGCGAAAAGCATGACAAGGAGCGTCGGCAAAGATTTTTGTGCCGACGTCCGAGTCGCCAACCAGGTTTGGATGCGAAATCGACACGGACAGCACAGCCTGAAACTGCACTGGCAAAGCCTGTGCGTCTGAGATTCGGCATTTGAGGTTCATGGTACTTAAAAACCCAATAATGACTGTACTTATAACCCAATTCTAACCATAATGGGCACTTAAGGGGCTCCAAAGTGGGCTATAAGTGCAGTTATGTTCTAACTGGTTTAATAAGTACCGTGAACCTTCAAGTAGAAGCATGCTGCGTCGGACTCCTCGTAGTGGGGATTTGTGTCGATGTCCTCAATATCTTTCCCTGTGGGTAGGACCGTCTTGATCATCTTGACCTTGGCTTAGCTAGTGGGCATTCAATCCTTAGAAGGGGGACAGGAAGTTTCTGCGTCATAGCACTCGGGGAAGGGACCGCGACGGCTGCACCACTCCAAAGCGAGAAGTAAACCTCAGAACGGCTCAGCACTGCATGACAGAGGCATGACAGGTTCCCACCTCTTGAACGCGAAAATGTTGAGATACATCCGAGACGGCAGCCGAGCCAAATGATCCTTGTCCGACGAGACGCACCTCAACCACTCAACCAGCTAAGTAAGGCGGGTCGGCAAAGTGTAAACCCTAAACCCCAAACCCTAAGAGCAGGGCCAGGCGCACGTCCCGAAAGGGTGAAGTGGGCCTCGTGGCGTTGCGCGACTGCCATCCATCGCCACCCCATCCATCGCCACCCCCAAGCACTGCAGCCAGCTGCCAAGCTAAGGTGCACACGTCTTGGTGACGTTGTTGCCTGTTCGGTTTAGTGGTTTAAGGCCACAAACCTCAAATTCAATTTAACCCCAAGACAAACAACGACTGCCTGAAGACAGCGGTGATACCTGTCTTGCCGCCAGCTTTTCCGGCGCCTACGCTCGTGCTGAGGTGCATGCAGTACATGTGCATGTGTTGACAACAGCTTCAGCAGCTTCACCCGAACCCAGTAATGCATTATGAGAATGGAACCAGCAACATACTCGTGAGGTTTAAACTGAACTATTTTTTCAGGAATCAGACACACACAGAGAGGTAAATTTCTACATTGTCGCATCTAGGCAAACACACATAACATTGCAGGTCATTTGTGCAAGCAATAAAAACCTGCAAACAATCTGAGGATTTGGGGGGGGGGGGGGTTGAGACGTGAGGCTTGGGGGTCTGCGGGTCTTCTCTTCGCCGGCTACCCGCACCAGTCGCTCTGGAGCTGGGTACTTGCCCAGCTTTTTAGGGTTTAGGGTTAAGGGTTTAGGGCTTTATGACAGACACATGGATCTTCAGGCTACAGCATCTGTGCTGGAATGTGAAACCCGATGGCTACGGCTACGCAATTGAAGTGGACCCTTGCCATGACTCTCTGCAACATCTTGCCAAGATCAGCACCCAGCCTGAGAATCAGGCGCAGCGCTGGCTTCTCCAGGCACGGCGCCTTCTGCTCAGCTGCAGCAAGGAAGCACTTGGAGGTTCGTGGTACTTCATAACCGACCTGCATTCATAGCCCACTCATAAGCCCCTTAATTATCCTAATTGGTCATAAATGGGTTATAAGTGCAGCTACTATTTGGTTAGTAAGTACCATGAACCTCCAAGCAAGCACCCAGAGTGCAGAGGGCGCAACCAGCGCCTTCGACTTGCTCAGGCATCATTTGGACGAAGAACCAGTGGCCATCACCCAGCCATCCTCCAGAAAGACATTAGGGTTTGGAGTTTGGGGTTTGGGTTTAGGGTTTAGGGTTTAGGGTTTCCATGTATCCCCAAAAGGACACCCAATATTTATAGATTCACCAATTTAAAACGGAACCTTATATACACTCACCAATAACAGTAACATAAACCCTGCGTCATACAGAAGTCGACAGCGCTGCGCTGTCTGAGCCATGTGCCAGTGGGCACTTTCTGCCGAATGAGGCCGGGACACATCCGCGATGGAGTTGGAAACGTGGTTCAAGAAAGGTATACAAAGGTCAAGTATGAATTCGAGCAAGCCAACTACAGTAACTACAGTACTATGAGAAAGGGATCCGCATGGGATAATGTGGATAATACGTGAATCCCAGAGGCGGGAAACAACACAGCGAGGGACAAAGCGGAAGCTAATCGTGACACATCTGCAAGTGCAGGACAAGTCCAGATGCGACAACGCTCCAGTGAGACACCATGGACAAGCGAACGTCCGACAGGATGATATGGGTCGTCCGGAGGTGTTCTTCTTTCGAGAACAAACTTCAACAGAGGATGAAATACGCATCAAGAGGCGACACCAGCACCCGACTCAGCGTCTCGGTCAGAACAGATGACAGACTCAATGACAGAGCTGTATCTGAAGCCGAACTCCTTCACTCCGCTTGCTGCCATGGACTTCGAGCACTGACTCGCATCCCCTCTAAACCCAAAATCCTAAACTTCTAAACCCAAAACCCAAAAAACCCTACGCCCACGCCCTAAGCCTCAAGCCAAACAACCCAACTTCCAACTTTCCACATCACGACCAAGAACTCTTCGACTCAAATCGTCTGCCTCTTGGCTTGGGCCACTGGTGAGTCGACGTCAGCCTCAACTTCCCAGGCATCGAAGTGCCCACACGCACACACACACACACACACAGAGCGACAAATTATCCGCCCTCCCCCCCCCCCCCCCCCAAAAAAAAAAAAAAAACCTGAAAAAATAGCGAATAACATGAAAAACCGGCTGCACAAGCCTATGGCAACCCTACGCCCTGAACACAATCCCAAACCCTCAACAACCCTAAACCCTAAACTGCTTGAAACACCTCGAGGCTCGAGCCCAGGGTTCTCCACCGCCGCTGCGGTCTCCTCTGCCAAGGCTTTATAGGGTTTAGGGTTTAGGGTCCACTGTTTAGGGTTTAGGGTTTAGGGTTTACGGTTTAGGGTTTAGGGGCTTTAGGATTTAGGGAAATTTTATGGGGTCTTCTGGGTGGTTTTGGGAAGGGTTTATTCTTTTTGTTGGCGGTGGGGGGGAAGTTTTTAGGCTCTTGTAACTGTAGGGCTTGGGGATTTGCAAGGAATTTTGTGGTTCGGGGCTTGATTTTTGTGTGGGGGTGTTCAGGCTCTCCATATCCTACAGCCAGGTACGCAACAGGCTGAGGGCCCAACGCTGATGGGCACCTCTGCCGGAGTGAAGCGGCAATTCAAGAGGATCCTGCCTCTCATGGGGGTACTTGGAGGTTCAGGGTACTTATTAACCCAACAATAACTGTAGTTATGACCCAATTTTAACCCTACTAGGGCACTTAAGGGACTTGTACGTGGGTTATAAGTACAGTTATAATTGGTGAGTAAGTACCCTGAACCCAAGTAAGATGCCAAGAACCCCAGCTCGTGGGTCAGACGGTGGCGCAGGGAAAGGACACTGCTGACCTTTCTTCAGCCGCGCCGATTGCGCAGGATGCTTGACCTAAAGCCACTCTCATGTGGACGGCTGCCCTTCGTTGGCGGAACTGCCTTCACGGCGCTTTCTGCAGAGCTTAGCCTCGTGCCGTCGCCTGAGCGGAACAACCGCCGGGCTTGGTATCCAGCTTCTTGCCTGATGTCACTGATGTCGATCAAGTCAAAGCTCTGGAATCTGCATGAAAATGGGCGTTCGCTACATCAGGCCTGACATTGCCACCGCCACGACTTTCCAGAGTTCCATCACCTTGCCAACTGGAGATGTAGGTAGTTCTCTAAATTAGGGTCCCTTTTTGGGATCCCGTTTTAAAGGGTGCGGCCTTATAATGGGTACCCAAAAAAGTGACCCTAATTTAGGAAGCTACCCATGTGGCAGTTTGCCAACATCAACGTTGCACTGGCAGTCTGACTCTCGCTGCCCCATTCACTGCCTCGATGGCTTCAGGAGTTCAGGCAGTTCTTATTCGTGGCACAGAAGTGACAACTAGAAGTAGCTAGTACTATTTGGGGCTTTACGAAAATAGGGACCCCCAATATAGATCCCCAAGTAGAAGGATTACCTTATAATCAGGAACCCAATAAGGAACCCTCAATTTCGGAAGCTCCCATGTGTTGTTTCTTGCTGCTTTGTATCAACTTGGAAGCTGGTTCGGGGCTCCAGCCTGACTGGACTCGCGGGAGACCAGGCGGATGTGGTCCCAAAGCGACTCTTGTGTGGTGGTCTTTCCACCAACCTGACCATCGGCGCCACCAAAGCTTTCCGAACAATCGTCACGCGGGGGGGGGGGGGGGGGGGAAAGCTTAGATCCCCCGCCCTAAACCCTAAACCCTAAACCCTAAACCCCCTACCCATAGGCCCAACGATGAAAGCCAAGAAGGCGCAGCTGGCCTCCACGCATGGCCGGCCCGGGAACTTCTGCGGCGCAATCACCTTCACCAATTTTCCCTAAACCCAATCTTCCTTGAACCCTAAACCCCCTAAACCCCCTAAACCCCTAAACCCCCTAAACCCCCTAAACCCCTAAACCCCTAAACTCCAAAAAAAACAGCTAAACAGGGAGCCTCGACGTCGGTCAGCTCCTTGAAGGCCTGCGCTTCATCGAGGCTCTTCAATGAGGATCACTTTTCTACCTGGTTCTTAGTAGGGGAATGAGGGAATCTGAGGGGCCTGTATGTAGGTTTTCGGTTTAGGGTTTAGGGTTTAGGGCTTAGGGTTAAGGGTAAGGGTTTAGGGGTTAGGGGTTAGGGTTTAGGATTTAGGGTTTAGGGTGTACCCTTTAAGGGGTTATATAGGCTCATTCCCTACCAAGAACCAGACAGCTTTGGGGGTGCCTATTCTCAGGGCACTTTGTAAGGGACCCCTGGGATGTTTCCCCTTATACCAGCAGTCCTTAATAGGGATTATAGTACCCCCTACTATAATCCCGATTAAGGACTGTTCGTATCAGGGAGAACATCCCAGACAAACCCAAATAACGACCCTGATTTCGAGAGCCACCACCAAAGTTGAACAGATCCAGCTGTCACGATGAGTGGGACTCTTTGTTTCGTGGAGGAGCTTTGGGTTCCGTAGTGCAACTAGGGCCCTAAACCCTGAACCCTAAACTGAGGCAGGTTTGGGGGCCCTAAACAACAGAGAGTAAGGGTACTAAAAACTGAAGTTTATGCTTAGAACCCTGCACCCCAGCCCTTTCGGGCCTTGTTCGCAAAGAACAGGGTCCACTCCATCGAATCGGGCCGAGCCCAGACCAGCACGATGGCGGCTTCACGTGCCTTGGCGCGCAGTGGGGTGACATGGACACAGAATGGGCTTCAGGATTTAGTGTGTCATACATGGGCATTTGCAAAAAGGCAAAAAGGTTCCCCTTAATTTCCCCCCCCCCCCCCCAACAAAAAAAACGAAAAAAACATCCTGATAGAGCTCCACCCCTTTTTTGGGGGCCCCCCCCCCCCCCAAGATTTTGAAGATTTGAGCTTCGTAACAATCCAGCAAGGTCGAACGAAACCACTTGCGCTCGTACGCTCTCTGTCCTTGGCAGGCGGCATCAAGCATCGCCCTTTCTCGCAGCTTTCCTGAGTCGAAGTTTCTGCTGGAAAGTCTTCAAACCCCGCGTCCAATGTGATAATTCACCTGAAAAGCATCAGAACGGAAACCCACAGAATCTGGGAAATTCTGGGTATGCTGCCGCCATACCACTGGACTTCGTCTTCAGTGGGCTCCTGATTACGGTGCGGTAGCCCATCGGTATGGTGAAAGTAGGAATCTGAACCGTGATGCACCATCACTCGCCTGATCCGCATCCTTGTCCTGCAGCTCTTGCTGCAGTTTCTCTAAGTGCTGGTCCTCCAGGGCCTCACGAAGAACCCCACTCAGCACATCGGCCCAACTTCAGCTGTCTGCATGCGTGGCCTGAACGACCAAATGCGCAAAGTTGATGAGAAGACCCACCTGCTGTGCAGTCAGCAGCAGCACTGCCAGAGTAGGGACTGCCCAACATGGGAGGGGGAAAATGCGGGCAGTTCTCGAAATTAGGGTCCTTTGTTGAATGTATGGAGCTCTTTTCAGACGGACCCGCCAAAAAGGACCCAAATCTGGTGAGCTGCACATATATCAACCCTAAACCCTAAACCCTAAACCCTAAACCCTAAACCCTAAACCTAAACCCTAAACCCTAACCTTAGACCATAAACCCTAGACCCTAATATAGGGAGCTGCCCATATGCTTATCCCCACAGTCAGACAGCAAGGCCTCTTGTGGTCGAAGGTCCTGGAGTTGGCGAGGCTGCGCAGACCGCCGCAACACGGCCGCTTAGGGTTTAGGGTTTAGGGTTTAGGGTCTCAGCTCCCAGCTCTGGGCACCCGGTCGATGACACACAGAGATCCCAGACCTGACATGAAGGGGTCTTTGCTTTCGGGGTTTTGAGGTTTCATTTTGAGGGTTGGTACTTAGGGTTTATAGGGTTTCAACAGGTTTTGTGGCTTCTTTTTTGGTGTTGTGTTTTGGGTAACAGGAAGTGAGGATTTTGGTTCGGGTTAGCTTTAGGCCTTCTCGGAACTTCTCTGGGAGGGCTAAGGTTTGGGGCGTTGCCTTTTCGGGGGAGGGCTGTGGGCCGTTTTCGGTGAGGCCATGTGAAGTAGGGTTTATGTTTCTTGTACTGCGGACCGGAGGTCGTGAATCATATCAAGGTGAGACAGCTTAGATTTGTACTAAGCACGGTTAGCAAGCACACAACATCAGTGGTCGAGAACGTGAATTAGCTGATCAATGGTTAAGCTTCGCAAGGATAGATGAGATAGAGTTTCTTGTATCCCCAAAAAGACACCAAATATAGACACTCACCAATATTAAAAAGGAACCTTATATACACAAACCAACAACAGTAATATAAACCCTGTGTCAATGTGCCTTAGATTTCGGATTTTGACACGGTGGGGGTTGTGGGGTTTCCCGATGGATTGTTTTGGTTTAGGTACATTTTCTGGGCTGGGTAAAGGTGACACTTCTGAACTCTCCATGGAATCTAACTTAAGCAATACGACAAGAACGGGCAACTTATGCCGAGGCGATGGCGAAGCCCTTCCGATGTCACCAAAGGGCAGCCTGACAGGCCACCACCGTGCACTCTGCAACCCTAACATGCCTTGATTTAGCACAACTCCAAAGAGCCCAATACACCTGAATTAAGGAATGTACCGTAAATCATGATAAGGATCCCTATGTACATTAAGGTAATTATTCCTTTGAGCAAGGGCAACAGCTCGATGCTTTTGGCGCCTCCGTAGAACTGAATGTATGGCTCTCCAATCACCTGAGACAAGCCCATGCTCACTTGCCACATGCGCATTGGACCCTGTTGAGCCCTGCGCCTTGTGATGCTCCCCCTTACCCCCTATTACAATTCCTGTTAGTATAGGGGGGGGACATCCCAACCGACGCCCAAACCCTAAACCCTAAACCCTGAACCCCCTGGAACCCCAACAACTCTCTGGTCTGGCTGAGTCGTCGGCTAGAGGGTTCCTTAGGCAAGGCGTCGGCAAGACAAACCACTTCCCCCTTATATTAACAGCTCCTCAATAGGGATCATACTAGGAGGTACTAGAATCCCTATTAAGGATACTAACAGCTCCTTAATGGGGAATATCGTAGGGGGTACTCGGATCCCTATTAAGGACTGCTAGTATAAGCAACGGCTTGACTTTCAAAGTTGGAAAAGCAAGTCCTGCAGTCGGCTTGCACTATCATGCTCCCGATCACCGGAAACTGTGCTGAAAAAGTACGAATAACTAATACGCAATGTAACTTTGACCAAACGGGCGGCGAAGTACAACATGCCGCAAAACTACTACACGCTCTCTATGCAATGACTCTGCCCATGACGCAAGGCTTTCGTTGTGGCTGCCGCTTTGAGTCAGCCTTCATTTTTGCTAAAGACAACTATACTTGATGAACCAGGGTTTCAGCTAAACATAACAGAGTGCATCACGAATCTGCATGTGTATTTGCTAACTAACTATGCATTCATTTTGTTGTTGTGAAAGTTCGGGATTTGTGACTTAGGAAGATGCTGGCTAGTTTTCTTTGACGGAACAGAGTCAGCCTCGTAGTGCTATTGGAACAGCTCGAGCATCTTCGGGTTTCGACCCTCCACTTATGGTTGGGGGACTTCAGGGTGTAGAGGGTTTTACTAGTAGGGTTTAGGGTTCTAGGGTTCGGGGTCTTCTCCTAAGGTGGTTACATGGTCCCTTGATCTGAGCCTTTAATTTTGGGAGAACATGCCCCTTATATACCCTATAAAACCGCAGCGCCCATAATTCAGAACCTTTGAAGAAGGTAAGGGACCATAAGGAAGGACGATGGAAATTCCCTTAGATCTTCAACACGGAAGACTCACGGAGCTGCATGCTAGCTTTCGCGAATGGATGTGCCATGTCAAATCTTCGAATGCGCAACGTAGTTAACGTAATCAGCAAGAACGGAAGTAGCAGACTCACCAGACAGCCACCCGAAACTCTGCAAGTTGCGTTTAGCAAGCATTCATCGCATCTGGCTTTGCAACCTGTAAGACTTCGAGACTTTACTGCTTTTTGCTTGCTCGGGAATTTTCACCCATGGTTTTGCAAGCCTGTGAGGACTACACAGTTCTCGCCCATGGCTTTCCAGCGTTCACGGCGGATGCAGACGGAAGGCGCTCCATGGCCCTTGGCCGCGTTCCCTTGCAAGCCATGCCCTGTGAAACCCTTGGGATATGTGCCTCAAAGCCCTCAACTCAAAAAGCCAAACTCTAAGGGGATTCAAATCTTTGGGATAGAACAGGGTACCCCGAGTTTGGAAAATGTTCTGGTGGAATCCAAGAAGCTTCATGAAGCGCAGGTCGTGTCTGGCATCCCGCACGAGGAGCACCCGGGCGTCCTTTTGGGGTGCGTTGTGGGGTTGCTGGTGCTTAGGGTTTAGGGTTTTAGGGTTTAGGGTTTAGGGTTTAGGGGTTAGGGTTTACGGTTCAGGGTTTAGGCTTCGGGGCCAGGATGGTTCACTTGGAGGTTCATGGTACTTATCACCTAAACAGAACTGCACTTATCATGAACCCACTTAGAAGCCCCCTAAGCGCACTAATATGGCTCTAATTGGGTGATACGTACAGCTATACCTGGGATAAGAAGTACCATGAACCTCCAAGCAGGGTTTGGGGGTAGGGCATGGGAGGTTTAGGATCGACTACCTAGGGTGTTCAGGGCATTCGGGGTCGGAGGGATTGAGGTTGAAGGCTTCAGGTTCGACAGGGGCTCCGGAAGAAGTCCGGCGCGCCTCGATGGCCTCGGGAAGCAACGTGTAGGCACAAAAGCTGCAGGTCCTGACATCTGGTTGAGGACTCATTCTTAACGTTTAGAGTTTAGGGTTTAGGGTTTAGGGTGAACTCCAGGGTTCGGAAACAAGTAGGGGCCCCTAATCCGAGCCCTGATTTTGGATCCTTACATACCCTACGAATCCTAAATCCTAAATCCGTACAAGGGCTCTTAGAGTCGCTCCACCTTTGGGGGCTTCCGGGAGTAGGGGTGCTTTTTTCCTAGGGTATAAAAGGGGTACCCCTATTTTGGGTAAAAAACGGGGTACCCCTATTTTGGGTATAAAATGGGCACCTATTTTGTGAAATACCTATATCGCTACGGGCCCGTGTGAGGGGCCCTTGGTGTGGCACCCCTGAAGGTGCGAGGCCTCAGAGCTTCAAGGTTTAGTAGTAGTTTGAGGTTGAGGGTTTGGGATTTTAGGGTTTAGGGTTTAGGGCTCTTAGGGTTTAGGGGTAGTTTGAGGTTAAGGGTTTGGGTTCGAGGGGATTTGCTGTAGGGTTTAGGGTTCAGGCTATATGGGGCATGATGGGATTGATTGAATCCCCATGAACCCACGTCATGGCATTCTGGCAAGATGCACCCTGATGGGCGCGATTGTGCCCTTTTACACTCACCTCAGCCTCACAAAACTGTCGCACTTTAGTGAACTGAGCCCTAAAATCTAAACCCTAAAGCCCTAAACCCTAAACCCTAAACCCCAACCCCAAAACCCGAAACCCCCTAAACCCTAAACCCTACTATGAAACCTGAGTCGCAGCTTAGTGAGCTCAGGCCTGGGTGTTTCGTCTGCAGACAGCCCGCACTTGGACTTGAACCTGAGAGTTTGCTCAAGGGGCTCAAGGGGCCCCCCCAAAAAGGGGGTTTAGGGTTTAGGGTTTAGGGTTTAGAGTTTAGGGTTTAGGGTTTAGGGTTTTACGGTTTAGGGTTTTACAGTTTAGGGTTTAGGGTCTAGGGACGTGAAAAAAGATTGAAGGATTTGGGGATTCTTGAGATTTTGGGAGGGCTTTCTGAGCTCGAGGATGGAACCACTGCCTGTCTTCCGCAACCAAGGACACGAGGCAGATCGGAACCTGCTGGGCATCTTTAATCTTTCGCAAGAGGCGGCGGACAGGTTTGTGGTACGACTGCCGCCCTAAAGCCTAAACCGGGTAGTGAGTCACCACTTCAAGGGGACCGGAGGTGCGAGTACCCACCACAATCACGAGGGAGGAGCGCGAACTGCATTGTTCTGGGGACCCTAAAGTCGGTGGAAACAGGGTTGTTCTTCAAGACTACACTCGGCTTCCGGATTCTGTGCAAACAGCACGAGCTGCATGTCCCCATGACACAAGGTTGCCCTCCAAGGGCGTGCCTGCAAAATTGCGGCAACTGCTCGAGTAATGTTGTCGTAATCAGTGTCCTGAAGGCCAGCACAGCCATGGCAGTGATGCATTTCCCCTCTGCTGTGCCAGGGAATTCCACTTGCTTTGCACTGAGGATCTGATTGCTGCAGCCACTGGGTGCCCAACAACATTCACTGTGTCCACAACTTTCAGGGACTGCAGCTTAGCCATTCTCTCGGCCTGCCAGTTAACGGCAGATCGTAGTAACTGGCACCACAACAACGGCGACGACGACGACGACAACGACGACAACGACCACAACAACCACGACAACAACGACAACAACGACAAGGACGACATCAACGACAACAACGACAACCACGACTCCGGCAGCAGCGACGCAGCGGCAGCAGCAGCAATAGCAGCAATAGCAGCAATAGCAGCAATAGCAGCAATAGCAGCAATAGCAGCAGCAGCGACCACGACAGCGACAGTCGTCGTCATCATCGTCGTCATCGTCATGGTCATCGTCACCATTATCGCCATCATACTTGTCATCATCATACGCAAGTTATTGCTGTTGCTAAGGGCTGCAACAACAAGGGACCCTTGCCTCATTCTCTGGATGAGGAGCACCCATGTAGTCCTCGGCCTTGCACGCGCTTCTTTGTCCGAACATGCTTAGGGATGGGATGCTGATTTTGTTCATCTTGATTCTAAGCGTAAGTGTGTTGTTGTTGCAGTTGCTGATGCTGTGGTTGCTGTTGTTGTTGTTGTTGTTGTTGTTGCTGCTGCTGTTGTTGTTGCTGCAACTGGCTGTGGGGTTGCAGCAGACGACGACACCGCGCGAACCGACACGAGTTCAACGGAGCCGGTCAACGACAGCTGTAGCTCCATTCCCTCCCCAACTTTATCTTGTGATTCGTTCTGTCGATTGAGTATGGATAGGGGGAGCTTGCACCCGGGAGCTTGTGTGTAATTTAAACACCATGAAGACACTTCTCTTAAGAACTCCCTCAAGCCTTCAAGTCGTCAAGTCCTTTACATGCTTCGGCCCATGCCCCGCTCCTACATTGCAAGTAACGCTTAGGAATCTTGTTTCGGGCGCCCGAGGTGTGCGCCACTAACGTTTGGCCCTAAGCCCAAATCCTGCAACATGTTCGTGCGAACTTTGGGGTGAAACCCACTACATAAACAGTAAGGAGCTTCACGAAACAATCACGAAGCCATATGATACGGAAGTTCCCTAACCCCCCCCCGAACCTTTAATAGCTTGAAAAGAATTGCCCCAAACATGACAGACTCTGCCTCAACAGCATTCAAACACTACGTCCAACATGTAGGCCTGAACCCCCTCAAACAACAGTAATTGGGCTTAATTATCCCTAAACAGCCTTGACTATGGGGGGAACGTAGGGGGGTAGCCCCACCCACAACCTGTAGGTATGAGGATGCTACATGCCAATCTTCACGGTTTCGTTTGTGGGGCGGCGTGGGCCGGCCCGTGCCGCTCGGCACAACCCAGCAATTTATCGTACATTTGGTACACCCCTAAACCTCCTTACCGGCCTGCATCAAGGGACCAAAGGAGGGACCCTTATGAGGGGCCTTAGGGGTTCTTTAGGACCATGCAAGGTCCTATCTAGGGGGGGGGGGGGGGGAAATAGGGGAACAAGATTAAGCGTCCCTAAACACTAAACCCTAAACCCTAAACCCTATACCCTAAACCCCTTAACTGCAGCTCTCAGCTCCCTGCATTCACATATGCGCCAGGCTGGGCTTCGTGAGCTCCTTTTCCCGCGCAGAATGCATCCGCAAACACAGCAGGTTCAGGGTTTAGGGTTTTTGGGGTTAGGGTATAACTGTTGCTTTACTGAGCTTATTGGGTTTGAGGGTTTATAGGGTGCGCAGGTAAGGCCTGGGCTTACAGGGTTCAGGGTTTTGGGGGCTTCCAGGGTTCAGGGTTTGGGGGGCTTCCGGAGTTCATGGGCTTGTGGGATTGTAGCTTTTGACGTTTAGGTACTACGGAAACCCTACACCCTAATAAACCCTAAAGCCTGAACCTAAACCCAATGGAATCCTAGACCCTAGAAGCCCTAGACAATCATGGAATGATGGTGGCAGGGCCTTGTTTTCCCCGAGGTCTGAGACTGAGCTCCACGCTTGGCGGCTTCTTTCTCTCCAGAAGCTCCGCCAAGGCCGTAAGTCCCAGCATCTTGGCCTGGCTTTGCGAGCCTAAACTGCTATTTGCCCAAGAACCCCCCGAAAAAAATGAAAGATGCTCTTCCTGATAAGGGGAAGATAGGGATTGTTCTTGTACATTGTTTTCGAGGTAAACTGCTATTTGCTGAAGAACCCCAATCGGGTCTTGGGATTTTTCAGTTGCGATTCTGTGGATGGGACCTTGGGGGCATATCTCTCAAAGTACACTTTCGCACATTATGGGTATGGTAGTATTGTTCTTACAGTACAGTACATTCGAATATGGAAGCGTATGTCAGAATACATTTATTGTTATAGCCTGTTATAGCATGCTTATGCTCCTTATAGTATAAAACGGTGTATTCCTTGTAGTTTAGGTCTGCAAGCGATGGAAGGCAGGGGCTAGGGTCGTGCAATGAAGGAGTACGCGCCCCCCTTGGACCCCCCTATCTTGCGCCTGGAATAGACTTCTACACCACGGTCCCAGTTTGGCCTGGGGAGTTGACTCAATTAGGTCCCAGACAGGGTACAGTAGCTTTCAGGCCTCCACACTGGCCACAACGACCCCCGCGATAAAAAAAGGAGCACGATAAACAAGAACCAAAACTGAAAGCCGTAATCTCGCCTCCCCCACAAGCAACAGACCCTAAACAACCTTCCCAAAGCCCAAGCCCTACCTCAAACCCTAAACCCTAAACCCTAAACCTTAAACCCTAAACCCTAAAGCCACTTTGCAGTGTGCCTCCGACTGCAGTGTGAGCAGCGCCACGGAAGTCCTTGGGCGAATGGAAACGTGAAGTCACCATTGGAGCTCTTTATTATCATTATTAACATTATGATGATGATTATTTTTATTGTCATTATTCTTATTACTATTATTCCTATTAGTATTATTATTGTTATTATGAGTATTATTCATGTTTGGGATTTGAGTTTTGCAAGGACTGCGGCTTAGTACACGCAAGTCTCTCTGGAGGTACGAAAAGCTCCGGCCCATGGCGAAGAAAGCTAAGTACCTGCGCACTCCCTTGCTGACTCTGTCAACATGCAACAGATCGCATCGATAACATGTCGCAGTGCAAGTGGCAGCTGATCTGAAGCTCACGAAATGGAACTGCTCCCCATCATGGTCAAGGAAGTAGGATCCATCCTTGACCACTTTCGGGGGTTTGCGATATTAGTGGTACCTTGTTGGGGTCCTTATTTAGAAGGGGAACCCCACTATTTGGGAATTATATTGGGGGTCCCCTATTTTCGTAAACCCCAATGTGGCCACAACTAAGAGGTGCGACATCTACAACTCGACCAACACAGCTGACGTTGTGCCTGTGCATGTGTTCTCTGGCATCTCTCCGTGTCTTTCTGTATGTCTTTTGACCCTAAACCCTAAACCCTAAACCCTAAACCCTAAACCCTAAACCCTAAACCCTAAACCCTAAACCCTAAACCCTAACATGGTGCACGGCCAAGCTCTGTGGCCGGGCCTGATCGCATGGCCCCGAGACGATGTCGGACAGCCGTGACCCCGCCGCTCTCCCGGTTGTCAGGGTCGACCGCGTCTGGGATCAGAGGAAGGATTCATACTGATATTCTTAATATTGCTAATCTTATTCATAACGTTAAACACACACACACACAGAGCACCAGCTTGGTGCAGAGCTGTGGTGAAGTGGTGCCCCCCAACATTGAGCACAACCCGGCCACCTGGCAATGCGCCCGAGACAAGCAAATATTGTTGAAACCTTGTTTGCATTTGCGCCTACCAAGCTCTCTACTCACTTTCACCACGCTCCAGTCCCCAATTCTAGCCCCATTTCCTTTTGGGGTGGGGGGAGGGGGGGCGGCATCTTATTTCTTGAAAACTATCAACCAAAACACCAGTTACTCACAAGAAAAGGAACTAGGTAACGGTTTGAAGAGGCCTGCCGCCGTCTGCCTCGCCTTGAAGCACTCAGGCATCCGACTAGTAGCCATAAAAGAAGTGTGACTCTCGTGATCTCAGACTGATGGAACGTCCCCCTTCGACTCTGACAAGTGGCATTGAGGCAGGGCAAACACCTGAGCACTGGGGTCACTGCACATTGCCATACATGCAAGCAGCTGCCTGCCAGCAGAATGTGTTGCATTCTTGCACTCTCTGAACATCTCCATGCGAGCACGTCCGTGGGCTGCTAGGCAGCCGGCGAAGAACTGCTGGACATTGTGTCAGACCTGAAGCCGGGACAGTGTGCTTCTGCGGGCATGTGCCTTCCCTGCAGCTGAGGGAGGCCTCACCGACGACAGCTCGGAAAAGCTGTCTCTTCCTGCGGGGCAGCTGACAGAACCACGCGGAGGCAGACCAAAGCTACGGCAACAAGCAAGTGTTAGCCTCCTGAGACTCTGGCATGGATATAGGTAGTTGCAGCGTGCACAAAACCTTCATACATAGCGCACGCCGGGCAGGACTTGCAGGCTTTGTCTTGGCTAAACAAAGTGAAAAAGCAGCGACATGCTGAACCCTTTGAACCAGTGAGATGCCGCGCAGCACGTTCTAGCACGTCGATTTCTTGTGTTTCTTGATGCTACTAAATAAATTTGGGGCTTGAGCCTGTCAATGACCACATGGTCCGACAGAAATGCGACAAGACGGGCTCTGCTGACTGTGCGTGAAGCTCCGGCAACATTTTCACTGCACTTGTGGCGTTGTGAATCAGTGAAGGTCAGTCGATCAGGGAGTCGGCATACGACGCCTGGCCAGTTGCACACCCTAATCTCGTAGCCAACTGCTGGGCTTTTGAAGCCCTAAGCTGTATACACCCCCAAACCCCAGTCCTTGGCAAGCAGTCGCATGCAAGTGCCAAAGAAAGCCGCCTGGTCCTCAACAACAGCAACGCAGAAGAATGTCATGGAAAGATGAGAGCTCGAGGCTGGGTAGCAACTGAAAGTGAATTACTGGCTGCATTGCTTGTCACGTTGTGCAAATAATGCCAATGCTGAAGCACAGTCCCACAGTCCTCCTGATCGAATCGAAAGCGCAGGAAACAACCTCCTGCTAGGCTCACGTGCACCATCTTTCTCCTTGGGATGATAGTGGCAAGTCGGTGACATGCTGCTGCCACAAAACAAGATTTGGTCGCGACCCCTGCCTCTCGTTTGCCCAAAGCCAGCTTGCACTCCTTCGACCCTTGTCGAGGGGCCGCACCCAACGAATGCAACTAAGCCGAATGCTTTGCTCCAGACCTCCCGTGGTGATGATCAGATCTTCCAGGGACGAGGGCAGAGCCACCACTGCCACAAGATTGCACCCTTCGCCCGTCTCATTCCCCTCAATTGTCAGTTGTACAATCACGCCGCGGAGCATCGCTTCAACGAAAGTGGTGAGACAGTCGCGCAGCTCCGCCATCTCGGCATCGGAGATGGCGGGTTGTGAGGAGCTGGGGGCAGACCAGTCGTACGCAAGCTGCCGTAAATTCACAGGAACGTACAGTCTGGCAGGCATCAAACCATGGGCATTTTGCGTGTGAAGCTCCACGGCACCATCTTCCAGTGCCAGTGCGTAGCGTTGTGCTTCGGAAAGCTCCTGTGCAGGATTAGAGCTTCGAAAATTCTGCATGTAGACATGTAAATACACGTCGGGTGGCTTTCACGTCATTCCGCGTGTGACGCCCTGATGGGATTGTACAGTAACAGGGGGGGGGGGGGGTACGATTAAGAATCCCCATGAGGGAGCTATGAGTATAAGGGGGAACATCCCAACATGTGACAGTCAGCATGCCCCACCTGGCGAGGTTCTGGCGATCCAGACAGAGCCAGGCAAATCTCTCGAGCATTCTCCGAGCAGCCATCTTGGCTGCACACCCTCGGACCGATGATTGCGAGCACCCCTGATGAACTTCGGCAAAACCTCCTCTATTCCCCTTAAAAAGAAAAGACGATGTACGACGAAACCTAGCAGCAGAGATGCAGCATCGGTTCCGAAGGGCTTCTGAGCTACTGGATCCAACAGTTGCTGGGAATCATTGCAGGCGAGCGATCCACAAAGTCGGCTGCAGCAAGGCTCGGAGACGAGATCCGTCTTGAAGCCGGCCTGAGCTCAGGGTTTAGGGTTTGGGGTTTAGGGTTTAGGGTTGAGTTCTGAGGGACTTGGGGTTTCAAGGGAACTCAAAGATCAGGGTGTAGACCCGAGTGAGAGCCAGCCATCCTACACAACGTCCTTCCCCCGAAGATACTAGGATTAGGATGGCCCCTTAAGAACCCTGTGAGAAAAGATTCCTGAATATGGTCCTCTTAAACCCAATAAGGGTAAAGACAAAATGTGCCAAGGGCGTACCGAGGATATCTTTATAGTTTTACCTATACTTCTATATGGGGCTTCACAAAATACGGGTACCCTATTTGGGGGCCCGTTTAGGGGATTCTATTCTATTTGGGGTACCAAAAAGGGGTACCCCTATGTCGGGAAATACCCTAAACCCTAAACCCTAAACCCTAAACCCTAAACCCTAAACCCTAAACCCTAAACCCTAAACCTAAACCCCAAACCCTAAACCCTAAACCCTAAACCCCTAAACCCTAAACCCTAAATGCCCATATGGCGGGTTGAGACTGTTGGAGCCCGGGATTTCACTCCCTTGCGCCCCTCCGTGCCTGCAGGGAAGGATCTTCCTTTATCTCCTCCGACTCGCCTGGGTGCCTGTTGTAGGCTTAGGGTTTATAGGGTATAGGGTATAGGGTATAGGGTATAGGGTTTAGGGTTTAGGGTTTAGGGTTTATAGAAATTGTAAAGGGTTTGTGTCCGGGGTTTTGGGGGGTTTTGCCGGGTTTTGTTTTTGCTTTTGCTGAAATTTGGGGAGGTTTTGTCGGGTTTGGTGGGGGGTGGGTCGTTTTGTGGTGTTTGGAAGGGTTTGGGGGTTTGGGGGCGTGTGGGGTGGGGTTTTGGGGGTTCGATGGGTTGCGGTTTTCTTGGGGGGATTTTGGGGGGCCTAAAGGGACGCCGGGAGCATCTTCGGGGCCTTCTTTCCTTGTTCAGGGTCTTTTTTTGGGTGCCCTGTTGTCTGATTTTTGTGCGCTGTGAAGGATGAAGGATTATTGCACGGGCTGCTCGCAATGAAACGCGTACAATTTCTATTTATCCTGGCCTTGAGGGTTGAGGGCTTAGCGTTTAGGGTTTAGGGTGGGGTTAGGGGTTAGGGCTTTTCTTGTACATGGTTGCACGGCACGTTCTTGAGTGAAGAATGACTTTCGCATCTCTGGCCCATGTTTGCCCGTAAAAGTCTGCTTTTTGGAAGCAAACAATTCATACTCATGTTGCAAATTATTGCTATGATAATACTATATATGAATAATATTTATCATATTAGGTATATGAAAAATATTCATACTATAAATAGCTGATCATGATATGAATGTAAATAACAATACAATCATGTGGTACCCTACGCAGAAATAAAGAGTCTCCCGGCGTACAATGCCTCGGCATTCGGCTCGGCTCCGCAGGCTCTTCTTCGCCTTTGGAGCTCTCTTGCGAGGAGCGGCCGCCCATGGCAAACAGCCGGAGGCAGCGGCGGGACGCGCGACTTGCTGGGGTTTAGAAAGGGTTCTTGTTGCTAGTGCCCTGCGCCCGTTTAGGGCAGAAGGGTTTAGGGTGTAGGGTCTAGGGCGGCATGCACCGGCTGACTGTGTGATCTATTTGTGCTGCTGCTATCTATAACTTCTGCAAAGAGCGCGGAAATGATGAGCAAACCAGAAAAACAGTTGCAACAACACGGATCGATAGCTTCAAGACTCAAAGTGTCAGCAGTAGTACATAGGTGGCCATGCTAATCAGCAGCATCCTCAGGAAAATGATAAGAACCGAATCATAACAACCTTCGGCAGTTGATTACCCTGTCCCACCCATGCTGGTTACGGGTTTAGGGTTGGGATGTTCCCCCTTATACTAACAGTACTTAATAGGGAGTATAGTACCCCCTATGAACATCCCAAGTTTAGGGTTTCAAAGCTGCACGGAAGATCCTGCATGGTTCCGCTGCAGTCTGCCCCCTTCTCCTTCTGCGCGATTCAGCGTAGTTCCGGCTGTCCACATGTTGTGGAATCCTGCAGTTAAAGTAGTTTGCTTAGCCGATCCCTGATACCCTAGTGCTGTCCGTCTTGGACCGAAAAATGATAGGGGCGCGTCCGACACCCCTGATTGTCAACAAAGGATGCCGGAGCTATCAGTGCCATGAAGTCGCTTTAGACTTCCCTCAGTAGCCGTCTAAGATTCTAAGAATTTTCAGGCGTTTGGGAGAAGCTGCTCCGCAGCAAACCCAAAGGACCTCGCAGTACTAAGCTGGTACATGGCACGCAGGCAAATCACACCTGCGATGCTAAAATAGAATGGCCCTGAAAAACTTTCTGAAAAGGATTTCTAAATATAATCCTCTTGCACCCCAAAAAATGACATCGCATCCCAAAGGCCTACCTAGAAAATCCACTACACTCCATGGGTCGCACCATGCCAGCCGAGTTATGAAGAATTGGCAGATGCTTTGGCCAATTGCCATTATTGTCAGGAGCCTGGCCATTAGCCGAGACGCCGATTTGAAAAAGGAAACCGAGGGCGCAACAAAGAGCTGCTCCCAAAAGGGGCACAGGTCTTAATACATCAAAGTGGGAAAATCTGTGGCCCCATCAGCGGAAGAAGTGGGGGGCTTGTGGGAAGCCCTAGTTGAACCTGCAAGGGTTTTAGGGTTTAGGGTTTTAGGGCTTAGGGCTAGGGTTTAGGGTTTTAGGATTTAGGGTTTTTTAGGGTTTTAAGGTTTTAGGGTTTTGGGAGACAATGCGCAACCTAGGGTTTTGGGAGACAATGCGCAACCTTCAGACCCTCGAAGCTTCAACTCCAGGGGGTCCTCCTGCCCAAGATGGAGGCTGGCAAACACCTGTCCTTGGTAGCCCAGGAACCACATTACAATACGCGTGCCCTTTTGTGGTTGGTTACTTTGTGAGTCCTCTAAACCCCGAAAAAAAGAAAAAAGGGCTCCACTGGCCAAACCAAGTGTCACTTGGGAAGCACTCCGGCAACCGAGCCTCAGTCAGAGGTTCGGGCATGGACCACGCTTTTCGGACTCGAAGTAACCCTAAACCCTAAACCCTAAACCCCTAAACCCCTGAACCCCTAAACCCCTAGACCCCTAAACCCTAAAGCCGGCTGGACCTTTCAGGGCCCGTAGGTCGTGGCAGATCCCCTCCCGTCTTTTGAGAGTCTGAGGTGGATGCGCTGGCACCGTGGTCGATCAACTGCTGCACTTGGGCCTGAGGGGGGTGGGGGGGTTTAGGGTTTAGGGTTTAGGGTTTAGGGTTTAGGGTTTAGGGTTTAGGGTTTAGGCTTAGGGTTTAGGGTTTAGGGTTTAGGGGTTAGGGTTTAGGGTTTAGGGTTTAGGGGGGCCTGAGGGGGGGGGGGGGTTGGGAGCTTAGTCACTTGGGGTTTCGGGTGTGAGGTCAAGGAGGTTGAGATTTAGGAGTTGCAGTAGGCACCATACAAACCCTGAAGCTTAGGGGTGTGGAGATCTACCAGGGCTTTTGGAGCTAGGTCCCATCTTTTGGGTTTCGGGCTTGGGGTTTGGGGCTTTGGGCGTTTTTGGAGACACCCTAAACCCTAAACTCTAGACCCTATAGACCCTAGACCCTAGATCCTAAACCCTAGACCCTAAACCCTAAACCCGAACCCCTAAATCCCAAACCGAATGACGTGGACGATTGGCAGGCGATTGCTTACCTTACGGTTTCGGGTGAACTTTCTAGCATTCCCGCGGACAATTGCTAATGTATTGCTTACAGTCATCTCTCCCAGCGGTAGCAAGGCATTCCATGACACCTCAAGAGGACCCGAACCACTCAATCAAGGACCATTCCTTCCACCAGAATCAGTTTAGGGCATACATTCTGACCTAAGTTGTTTGGGCAATCTGGGTTCTGGCTGCAACATCACATCTGACTTACGATCAAGGGCCCAGCACCCCTTAAGGACTGCACGGCAAGCTGCCCTAAACCCTAAACCCTAAACCCTAAATCCTAGACCCCAAAACCTTTAAGCCTTTTGGGGGCTTGTCCGCATCTGCGGCCCGCCTGCAAATTCCTGTTATTCTCCTGCTGCAGCAACAGGGCCTGCTCCGGACTCGCATATTCACTCGGGGTTTGGGGTTTAGGGTTTAGGGGTTTGGGGTTTAGGGGTTTAGGGTTTAGGGTTAGGAGTGCTCTTGCACAGAAGGACAGGTTTGCCGTAAGCTCGCAGAAATCAGCGTGTGCCAGCAAAGCGGACTTCGCCATTTTGTCTCGCGTCCCGCCACCATCAGCCAGGAAGTCTGACCTCGCATCGTAAGGGGTTTAGGGGCTTTGAATGGGTTTAGGGTTCATTTTGGGCTTTAGGGGGTTGTTTTTGGGGTGTGTGTTGGGGTTTTTGTATGCCATGATGCCAGGTCCATGCAACTGGCATCTTGAGAGCCTCTCTGTTTTGTTCATCTAACAACCGTTATTGTATTTCTAGTTGTATAACAGATAGGTCAGTATGTAGAAATTCTACAAAATGTTTTTGAACATCTACTCTAGAATTGGTATATTGCATGTTTATCATACATGCTGAATACTTACTACTTGCGATTGAATAACTTATGCAAAACATTTCTTGCGAATCGTTTGGCTACGTACCGGCCCAGTCAGTCAGTCTTAGGGTTACTGCACCAAATCTCCTGTCCAAGCATCCACAGCTACTTTAGGACCACCCACACCCCACAACAAGTTGCGTGGAGCATTGCACGAGCAATGTCCTACCTCCTTCAGGGCGTGCGCTTCTCTCCTTTTGGTAGAACTGTTTGGAGGCCGGACTTCGGTGTTCCATGGCCTTTTAGGTCTTCGCAGGCCTCCGGAGGCCTTCAGAAACCTCCTGGCATCGGTGGCGCCCTCAGCTTTCGGGTTTAGGCCGGGTTTCAGGCTTAGGGTTTAGGGCGGGGTTTTGGGGGTTTCTTAAACAGGGACACCAACAAGGAACCTTGGTTTAGAACATCCCTGGGTTCAGGAAGAGCCCGTCTAAAAAGCGGGAACACTCAAGCCACATCGGCTTGCCTCAAAGAAACCTCAAGTTGTCCAAGACCCTCCGCACGAGCTGTGAGCCCTGCCAGCTCTCTTCGCCGAGAGCAGAGGCCACACCAGGCAAGTCGAAGAACACCTGCCAGGTGCTGAGGAACGAGGGATGGGTGGAAGGTATCGTAGTAACTTCGTAGCCCTCGTCGAAGTCCTAGCTGTCGTGCATGTAAGTAGCTGCAGCACATCGCCTCCCGACAGGTTTCTCGGGATTCATCTGCTGGCTCCCGTTGCGGCACCACTTTTGCCCGCAGCCGGAAGTAGACCTAAGTTACTCTTTTAGGGTTTCGGGTTAAGAGGCTGTGGGCATCTGGTCGCACGCTTTTCTGGCCAAGCAGGCTTTGCGGACGATAAGGCACCGGCCATGATCCGAATACCGCTGGGCGTGTATCTGGGCCTGAGTCCGCCCGTTGAACCCTATATGGCCATTTCCCAAAATAGGGGTGCCCCTTTTATACCCCAAACAGACTAGAATCCCCTTACGTAAAGGGACCCAAAAAGGGTAACCCTGTTTTGGGAAACCCCCATCCAGGCCCTAGATCAGCCAAAAACCTGTCGGGGCGCTAAGGCCTGGACGCCGCTGCATGGGCCGTGTGTGGATGCAGTATGACACAGTCCCCAGCACCTGAGAAGTGGTTTTCATGACAGCTCCCAAAGCACATGGCGTCTCATGGCCATTTTGAAACTCTTAGGGCCCGAAACATACGGGGCCGTGTTAGAGCGCGCACCCACCACCGATCAGAGATGTTCAGAGAACTGAATCTAAGAAGCAGGCGGAGGCTCAGAGGCAAAGCTTGTCCCGGTGCTTCGGCATCCGGGGGGCATGGCCTTTCAGAACTCGGCTCTGTTATGGCTGTGACGATGGCTGCATCCCACACCCAAAGTCTGTCGCATGAGGTCCTGGCACAAGCCCCTCATAGCCTTTGCAGCATTGCACACAAGTCCAGAATAAGACATTGCGAAGTGATCAGACATGCCCAGGGGTGGCCTCGCAAAGCTGCGCCCTCGCGGCACAGCGCAGCGGCGTCCTGTGCCACTTGTACTGTTGAACCCTCAGAGCTTCCTGAAACCGCATCAAACCCGAAGTGTCTACATCGGTGTAAGTTCTAAACCCCTGATGGGGCCACTCAGCCCGTGGCACAGCCCGGATCACAGATCTTCAGCGCCGGCTCGCGACGCAACTGGATGTGAGACCCCGGCCAAACACCTCGACTGCAGTTCTTTGGTCAAGAGGGCTTACGAGTCCCTGATCGTTTACTCAACACCCTAAGCATAATATGAGAGCCCCACGAATTATAAGTACGATTACAGTGAACGTAGTCAGTAATTGCTCTTGTGGGGTGCTGCAATATTGCACAGAGAGGGGAGTAAGGTGCTACGAGTGGGCCCTCGTTAGGGATTCTTGACTCTACGCCAGGACCCAGATGACCCAGCAACCTGTCGATATAGCTTGCTGTTACGCACCTTAAACAAAATCAGTAATAAGGAATTGGGGGAGCCAGTTTCTTTGCTGAAGAGCCATGTGCCTGGTATGGCCTCTGAAGTCCTCTTAATCCTTTTGCTGTCACCCTTAATTAATAGATGTCTGGCGAGCTTGTAATGCGCTGCATCCTTTGACTCCTCGTATTCCAAGTCAGGCAGAAGGTCGCCATTCGGGCACAGCTGCTGCTGTGCGTGCTGATTGAAATCTCGATCAGGCAGCGGCAGCACGGTGTTCGCACGGGGTTTGTCAAAGAACTTCGCAAACTCGACTGGACGGTGGCTCGCGATGGCTGGCACCGCCGGACGGGTGGGGGCTCTCAGCACCCCAAGATGTCCATGAGCTGGGCATGCCGGGCCCTCTTGAGTTCTGCGACGTGGGCGCTGTGGCCTTTTCCAGGTGTAGGCACTGGCTCTGATGAGGCGAAACGCGGGCCATCGGTCATGAGGTCATAGTACAACTTCACCTGGGTCGGACAGTGCTTAGGCCTGCTGCCCCACACCCTAAACCCTAAAACCTAATCCAGAAAACCTCAACCCTAAAACCTAAACCCTCCTTTTCTGGAGGAAACCCTAAACCCTAAACCAACCCTATGGCCACTAAGAGTAATTGCACATGCACTCTAATGCATGCAAGCAACGCCGACCGTGGACATGCTTCACGCCATTCAACTGCCAGTCCTGGGTCGATCTGTGAGTCGGCATGCATGACATTATATATATATATATATATATATATATCTCTCTCTCTATCTATCTAATATGTGTATATATATATAGATATATAGACATAGGTTATACATAATATGACTGTGCGCAACCACACATATCATCCGTATGATACATCATATACAATTAGTAATATGACATGCATAATATGTGAAATACATGTAATATATACATACACATGCATATGCATATTCTGCATATATATATATATATATGTATCTATATATATATATATATATATAGCATGTCGATCGTCATGACAATCATGATCTTACTAGCATGCATTGATATATGTAGAATTAATTGTTTAAATACAAGGCTGCCACAGCTCTCTGTCGAAGAAGTCGCCAACACCGATCCGGAAGTCAAGAGAAACTCCTGGGGCTCCACACGTAGGGCGGCGGAGGGGGGGGGGGGGGGGGGTTTAGGGGTTGGGGGGTTTGGGGGTTTAGAGGTTTAGGGGTTTAGGGGTTTCGGTTGAGGCTTTAGAGGCTATAGAGGTTTAGGGTTTCTCTTGGGGTTTAGGAGGCGTGCGCATATGCGCAAAAGTCATGTTGTACTATGTGGAAGCTGCTGAGCATGCCATACCGAAATCGGACAGCTTTGCCTGGCCCAGCTTATACTCTGTTGCAACAAAAGGCGATTCTGAAGACCTGCTGCCAAAAGGTAGCCACCCGCTCGCTTCGCTTCCAGATTTTCCCGCATGCAGACTCTCTGTGGATTGCAGCGAAGCGTCTCGTGAATGGCGAGGTGTTCGCCGGCACCTCGCATGAAGCTATCATGCCATCACGTCAAAACTGCCCCATCTGCTGCCATACGATCTGCCCCGTGCCCCAAAGCCCCACATGTTCTCAACTGTGATATAACGATCCCAGTGGTAATTTAATGTGTAGTCATCCACTATATGGATGCTATGTATACATTCAATATTTATATGTGTATTCCTGAATATACTCCTTGTATATATTCCCTAAACCCTAAACCCTAAACCCTAAACCCTAAACCCTAAACCCTAAACCCTAAACCCTAAACCCTAAACCCTAAACCATAAACCCTAAACCCTAAACCCTAATGCATCCCTTACTTTACTGGCTTTTGAAGCTCTGGTTCTGAGAGTCGCCAAGTCCCCGGCCTTGTGCCTGCAGAGCGTACCGTGGAACACCGCGATGCCTTGGGGGGGGGGGGGGCGGGTTTAGGGGTTTAGGGTTTAGGGTTTAGGGTTTGGTTTAGGGTTTAGGGTTAGGGTTTAGGGTTTTAGGGTTTTTAGGTTTTAGGGTTTACGGTTTAGGGGTTTTAGGGTAGGTAAATACTGCGGTTTCCCCCCCCCCCCCCCCCCTCCCCCCCCAAAAAAAAAAACTCCCAAAACCCCAAACCCGTTTCCTTCTCACGGCAACTTGCCCATGCTGCGGCTGAAATGTTCGCCTGCCATGCCTCCACCTTCTTGCACACTCACCAAAAGAAACATTCTCTTTATGAACGGATTCCTAATGCCACCTGAACACTGCATCACAACCCCGATACTGAGCCAGTACCGCAAGTCACAGGGAGCGAACCCCGACTCTCCAACACCGGTTCAGAGCTCCGTGCTTGCTTGGCCGATTAGGCTTTAGGGAATAAGCCCCTTAACCATAACCTCCCAGATCCCAAACCCTAAACATCCTAAGCCCTCTAAACACCTAGACGCTGAAGACTTCTCCCTGGGCCCTACCAAACCTCACACTGCAAAGCTACTGCCCAGCAAACCCTGAGACCCGTGTTGAGCCCTGCCACTGCCATGGTTGATGGCCAACGGCTGGAAGTCCTCTGCACCGGGGCTGCTCTCCACCCACAAGGTCGCCTAGGTCGGGTGCAGCAAGTTTGAGGGTGTGAAGGCCCGAAGACCCCACACCTTGCCCTCTAACCAATGGCCCCTACAACTCTGAACCACCTAAAACCCTAAACCCTCAGCCCTAAACCCTACATCCTAAACATCCTAAAGCCCTAATGCTGAATGTTTAAGCCGCCCTAAAGCCCTCAACCCTAAAACGCACCTAACCCCTGTAGAATCCCAAGCCCGACAGCCCTTAAGCCTGAAACCCCCTGAACTCTCCACGTCGACTGCTCGGCCTCAGTCATGGAGTAGTCCGTCAGCGGCATCCAAAAGTTCAGCTCCTCAGGGCTTGACTCTTTTTCTGTTTTTTTGTTTTTTTTTTTTTGGGGGGGGGGGGGGGGGGGGGGGGGGGGGGGGGGGGTTCAGTGTTTACACTGAGATTATTTTGTGGGGATTCTGCTCTGGCTTGCAAGTGTGGTGTTCCAGGTTGCTGGGTCTTGGATAGACCTTCCGGGCCACAAAAGCCTTCTTCTTGGCTGTAGGTTACTCAAGAACCCTGAAGGGGCATCCTAGACCCTACATGCTTAGCAGCCCACAGAACAAAGCCTGGGGATGCTTCAGGTGGCTGAGGGTCTCCAGGCGTGGTGTCTCTCCCAACTCAGCTGGGGAAGCCTTGGCTCCTGATCCCAAGAATGGCCGCGGAGTTCTAACTTTCTCCATCCCCAGACTTGACAAGTCAAGCAAGCCACCCGAAGCCAACCCTAAACCCTAAACCCTAAACCCTAAACCCTAAACCCTAAACAAGGCGTGGCTCCCCGATCTGGTGGCCATACTCAGCATCTCGATGAGGGCGCTTAAATTCCTTGCTCCTGAGAGGCTTGGATTTCGGGCTTAGGGTTTAGGGATTGGGGGGGTTAGGGTTTAGGGTTTAGGGTTTAGGGTTTAAGGGCGCGGATCCTACAACAGTTTAGGGTTTAAGGCAGTTTAAGGTTTAGGGTTAAGTTAAGGGTGTAGGGAATAGCTTCAGGGGTTGTACTGTTTTACCCTTGATTCGTGGGATTTGTATAGAGGGATCCAATTTAACTTTTGCACCCCTAAGGTTGTACCTGTAAAAGGCTTCCCTGCACATACTTACACATCGCCTGGATATTCCATAAGAAATTCTTAGAAAAGGTCCCCGAACCCAAGGCGACGTCTTAGGTGTCCAAGGTAGAGGTCTCGTGTTTGTATCTAAACTATGACCTGCTAAGTACTGCTGAGTGTCGGGGCATGCAGTTTAGGACTTCGGGTTATGGGCTGCTCCGGTGCGAAAAACATGGAACTGCCAACTGGGATGAGTGAGTGTCCTTCCCGGCTGAATGCGCAGAGTGGGCGGATACTGGTAAGAAAAGTTGGTCCTCGCATCAGCTGCAGCCAAACTAACTCAGACCTCAGCCTTGAGTCCTAAACACAAGGCATCTCACTGCTGACCTTTCGTTGCACACTTACTTTGTGGAGCATCTCAAGGTAGCTCTCTTCTAAGTGCTGCCAGGGCTCGGACCCACATGCTCGACCTTCAGGGCACTTGAGGGATAAGGGTTTAGCTGAAATAGCCCGACGTTCCGGCAAGCCGCGTGGCCTGTCCCTCGAGGCGGTTTCGGAGCCATGGGACAAGCACCTCCAGGACGAGCCTTTCATACACCGCCAGAAAGTCGGATGCCTGCCGAGGAATTGGAAGCTCACCATGATCTTGCAGCGATGGGCGGGTGTGCAGGATGGGGCAGCAGCAGTAGGGCAGTAGGTTCACAACTGGCTCTGTCAAACTATGAAGCAAAGCTGGTTTCGTCAGAATGTAACAAAACAAACCCTAAACCATAAACCCTAAATTTCAAACTCTAAATTCCAAACTCAAGGCTGAGGCCGCCCCCCTACAGTGGGGGCGGGGGGGGGGGGGGGGGCCTAAGCCCCTCGACCTCCTGGCTCCAGCCGACCCAGGTCGCTCGCCCGCCTCCCCCAACCAGAGGGCCGGTGGGCTCCTGCTCACCCACCTTGCCCGGACTGAACCTTCTGGGGAAACGATCTGGACCATGGAAGGCAATTTACTTGAGGTTAGCTATAAAAGGAATAGGTAGGGTGGCTCTGCCGCCTTGGACGGCGTGGGGTGGGAAGAAAGGTGTTAGATGGCACTGCACAATCAGGCCAGACCTGCTCTGCGCACCTGACGAAGCTTTGGAGCCTCTTCTGCATCCTAACCTTCACAGCATCTGCGCCATATTTCAGCAAACCCGAAACCTAAACCCTAAACCCTAAACGCCGCCTGCGTGACGATCTCACAGAGCCGCTGCCGTGCCGGAAAGGAGCGGAAGATGGTCGAGACGGCCTCCAATCCGCTGGGGATGATGAATGTGGGCGTTTCCGAATATAGTAGGTACTTGTTGTTGGCCCTTTTTTGGGGGTGGTTTGGGTCTAGGGTATAATATAGGGTTTGGGTTTTGGGGCGGAGGGGGGGGGGGTGGGGGGGATGGGCCCTATAATACTATGAGGTATAGCCAGGCAATACCCATGTCAGCAGACACGGAAAGAACCTGCCTCGAAATCTTCCAGGGCCTCGCTCTCATTCGGGAAGCGTCCGACCTGCAATCGACATCAATCTTCAAAGGTGCGCACCTCGTATTCAAACATTACATGCTAAGACTTCAGCGTCTGTGCTTGCCAGCAAGGCGGTGATCTGCTCACGCAGGTTGTACTCACGTGTATCAAAGTGCACCGTGTCCTGGCTTTAGGGTCTATAGGGTTTCGGGAAGCAGATGGAGGCTGCTGTGTAGCGCACCATAAAATCGTATCTCACACAAAAAGGAAGTCCACGTCAGTGGAAATCACAAGAGAAGGGGAGCTTTTTTGATACAAGCTCGGTACACCTCACGTAGAAATACTCCCCCGTGATCCCCCGTGCAAAGATGGACCACAAAGAAGGCGCCCAAGCAATTAGAGAAATCGACCTCCTGAGCTTCTCAAACCCCCACGGGAGTATGGGTGTTCAAGGACCTTCAATGCCGGTTGCGAAGCTGCTTGATGGTCCCCAAAACACCAAACCCCTAAACCCTACACCCCTAAGCCCCAAAACCCTTAAACCTCTAAACCTCCTCTAAACCGTTGAACCTCTAGATCCCTGGACCCTAAACCCTCTTTAGTGGGCCCCAGGGATAGTCGATGCGGCCCACCGTCAGGTTAAGGGTTTTCGGCTTTGGGTTTAGGGTTTACGGTTTATCAGCCATGCTGGTACCAACTCCTGCACACGCAGAGCAGCAGGCAGGTCGTGCAGAATCTGCGGCGCAGCGGCCGCGATGAGCAGCCGTTCGCCTTGCACAAGGACGACGGGTCAAAAACGCCCCCAGCAGCACACAACGGACAGCGAGTGACGCAAGGCGCTGAGCCACGCAAGGCATGCCTTTGCTCACCCCGCAGCTCTGCGGGTCATCAAAGGGAGCCGGCATGGCTGCAAGCTCACATTTCGGAATTGAGAAGAACACGTGATTCCTAGATGTTGCCTGGGAAGCTGCTTATAGACCCTTTGCACATGCAAGAAACGAGCGGCGCGCGAAGTCTCCTCAGCAAAGCTTCTTTCGAGCCAGCTAGTCCCAATATGCTCACGCCGCAAACTCTGACCTTGATGCGATCGCCAGGACACCGACACAAGTTTCCGCACAGCTTCTCGGCTGGAAGCTGCTGTGTGTCTGTGAGCGCGACGCCTGCCAGTGCAAATAAGCCCATAAACCTTAAGCCGCCTAAGACCTAAGACGTGAACTGAACGAAAGCACACGGAATTCAAAGCCACTGCAGAGGCCTACCAGCAAGCTGAACGGATGCCGACTGCACTGCCGCCTCCCAGTCACAGCATCCCGCGTTTTTCAACTTGAGCCGACCGCGCAACTTAGGTAGGTGTGTGGAAAATCTGTAAACAGGGATGGTCCTGTGTGACCGTATGTGCATGACGTTGGTATTCTTATGAGCTTTATGATGACCATCCTCTGATGCTCAGTTGCGGAACTCGGTGGCTTCGCCGGCGTGGTGGCATGTGCAGCAAAATGGGGGTATGCCCTAGCAGAGCCCCTTAAAAAATCACAACTCTTATCCGAATCCCCCAACAAGGGTTCCCTAAATGCTAAACCGCCTAAACCCCTAAACCCTAAACCCTAAACCCTAAACCCTGCATCCCTGCTTTGGGAAACCCCCTCATGACTCCGAAAGTCCATGCCAGGAAGGCGTGCTGCAACCATCGGTGTGCCACAAGAGGTCCGATAGCTCCAGCCTTGACATGTGCACAAGTTAAGGAGGTTAGGGTTTAGGGTTTAGGGTTTAGGGTTTAGGGTTTAGGGTTTAGGGTTTAGGGTCTAGGGTCTAGGGTCTAGGGTAAAAGGAGGGACCCCTAGGAAGGGACCCTTAATCTTATTCTCCTACTACATAACCCCTACATGTACCTTATACAGTCCCTATGTACCTAAGTAGCCCCTAAATAACCCCTAAACCCTAAGGTCCCTTTTCAGGGGGCCTGTGTTTTCTTAAGAAGTTCATTTTGTTGTTGAAGTTCTATTCGATTATACGACTATTTGCTTAAGAATCCCCCAAACGATTTTAAAGCTGTAATCCCTAAACTTCCCTTGTAAGGAAGTTTTTTTCTTCATGGGGAGGGGGGTTTTTAAACAAACTGTAGTGTGTTCTATTATATGTGTATTCTAGTACATGATGACTAATATTATGTTGCACGATACCCATTCTCGCGGTGTTACTTTCTTATCCCGAGCATGCGGCGGAGCTGACCAAGATCTGGCCTGTCAGTGGCAGGACTCAGCAACTCTAAACCCTAAACCCTTTAAACCCTTTAAACCCTTTAAACCCTTTAAACCCTTTAAACCCTTTAAACCCTTTAAACCCTTTAAACCCTTTAAACCCTTTAAACCCGTTAACCCTTTAAACCCTAGAACCCCTAAACCCTATACAAACGCTAACAACCCTAGACGCGGGGGGCATGGCGCAGGGTGTCTTTCAATTTCTCCTTGCAGGCTCTTGCAACTCTTCAGCTTCGGAGTATACGGTACGAGACAAACAAAAGCAACGAAAGAACGAATTTCAGAAAAACGAGATAACGACCCTGAGAGAGAAACACGAAGAAAAAAACAAAGCACTAATAAGATCGACCGTCAGAGAGGTCGATGTGAGTGAGAGCGAGGAGCGGAGAGAGGGATTGGAGCGCGCAACCTCTTCAGCCAAGGTTCACTCACAGCACGGGTGATCTTGGGGGAAGGCCCCTAAACCCAAAGCCCAAAAAACCCAAAAAAAACAACAAAAAGCCTAAAAAAACCCAAAGCCCCAAACCCTCAACCCTGTATGGTTGCATTGCAGCCCTCAACGTCCGGCCTTGTCTTCTGACAAGTGTGGATCCGGAAATCGCAAGGCCACCTCAAAAGAATTAGGGTTTCGGGATTGTAGCGTCAAAGGGTTTGGGCGTTCGGGTTTAGGGTTTTGGGGTTACCTTGAAGATTCCATCATATGGGGGGGTTTCCGAAAACAGGCGTACCCCCCCCCCCCAATTCCTATAATACGGATTATACTATTTTGGGATATATTAAGGGTGCCCCGATTTCGGGAAATATTCTATGAAGCAACGAAGTGGGGTTTTATCTTGCTGGTATAAAACCCTAAACCCTAAACCCGCAGGGACACCCAAAGTGTAAGCTCACCGAGAGCGATCAGGGAACCCGATATACACTACCAATAACAGTAATATGGGGCTTTGCGATAGTTGGGGTACTATTGGCGTCCTTCTTATAAGGGAATCCTACTATTTGAGGACTGTTTTAGGGGCCTTTTGTTATCGTAGACCCCAGATAAACCCTATATGGGTGGTTGTCAACATTATGGTCCCTTTTTGGATCCCTACACTTAATATTTCGGGCACACCAAAACGGACCATAATTTTGACAACCACCCATATCGACCCTGTGAACTAAACTGGAGAAGCCTGAACTTCAGTGCGCCTGGGCAGGTAGCTGACGCCCTTTCAGCCCAGCAGTAAGAGATCGCCACCCGAGCATCTGAGCCTCAAGGTGCGAAAATTTACGGTACACTGCTTCTGGGTCAGCTCTCCTCCGAATCTCTGGGAGTCTGAGGCCCATCTGCGGAAGCCCCGGCAGAACTGGACCTTACGGCTGTCTGCGTGACTGCAACCACTGTTCGGTGCACCGACTTTCATCCTAGCCGTCGGGCGGATGAAGCAGGAGGTCTCGGAAGGGACTACGATGTATGGTCTTGCCCTGCAGCTTGCCCACAGACCCATAGCCTGGCAAGTACTTGTGCTGGGAAACGATCATGGGCAACAGTAAATGCTCTGTACTCAGATCAGTAATAGCAGACTACTCTTGCATTGCCCTGGTGCCATGGTAAGTCGTATGGTGCATGTTTCTCTCAAACTGTTTTAGCCCGACGCCTGAGTTGCTAGCGTCGCCGCCCTGTATCATGCCGTGACCTGCCATCGACCCGGGCTATGCGCATGCCGAGCGCAAGCAGCAACATTGCTTTGATTCGAGCGCAGGGCTTGCAATGTCGGAGTGGACCAGTGCACAAGCAGGTTGCCAGAGGAAGTCTGGAACAGCCTCCAAGCTTGTCGCTGCCAAGCAGAGTCTTTGAAGTGCAAAGCGCAGCTGGCACTGATGCACCTGCTTGACGACGACGAATCCTAAGACTAAGAGAATCTGCGGCAATCAGTGCCCAGGTGACTCAAGTTCCAGGAACAGACTTCAAAACTCCAAAAGCCGAGCAGCCGTGTCGAGCAAAAGAACGAAGGTCTTCTTCAGGAAGCAGGTGGCTGGGCAGAGCCATGCCTCACCGGAAAAGTGGGAGTTCCACCAGTGCATTCCGCCATGTGTCCTGACAGCCTTCCTGAACTTCCTCCTCGGCCGAAGGGAACCTGACGCAGACCCTCATGAAGACACAAAAAGGTTTAGGGTTTAGGGTTTAGGGTTTAGGGTTTAGGGTTTAGGGTCGCAGGTACTTCATACGAGCCTGGACAGGCATGTAGCCGCATTGATGCGCGGCGTCTCCTGCGCAAACTTGCTTGGCTCCGCAGGCTAAGGCATACCTGCCTGTGTCTGCGACTCAGAGCAGCCACCGCTTGGAGGTTCAGGGTACTTATTAATCCAATAATAAGGGTCTAGGGTTTAGGGTCTAGGGTCTAGGGATTAGGGTACCTGTACTTATAACCCAATTATAACCATGTTGGAGCACTTAAGGGGCTCATAAGTGGGTTACAAGTACAGTGATAACTGGTTAATAAGTAAGTATCACGAACCTCCAAGCAAATGCCCAAGCAGTCCCGGCAGAAGACTTCGATGAACGTGCAACTTGCTTTCCTGGAGCACCATGGTCTCTCTTCCGGTATCTTCCGGCCGTTCTGGTCAAAGCCGATAGGGTCTAGGGTCTAGGGTCTAGGGTCTAGGGTTTAGGGTTTAGGGTTTAGGGTTTAGGGTTTAGGGTTTAGGGTTTGGGGTTTAGGGTTTAGGGTTTAGGGTTGTTGGATCACTGCTATATTCTGTTGCTACACTCTACACATACTGAGATTGAGCACCGCAGTCCTTGCTTGGTCATTGCTTTGCCGCCTTTGCAGCACCAGCTGACCATGCGGGGTGGCAGACAGCAAGAGGTCACTCCTCCAAGGAGTTCTGCAAGATTCTCCAAGATACTGGACACAGTCAGGGTGAGCAAATCGACACTAGCATGCAATGAGCCTCCGCGCACTGCTAATCTCCAGGCATAGGCCTAGGCGGGGGGGAAGGGGAAGGGGCGACCCCCCATCAACACGAAACTTGACCTTTAGGCAGCAGCAACCATCAGCCTCCCAGCTGCTGACCAGCCACAGCAGCGGCCAGTCCTGAAAGGGTCGGGGTTCAGGGTATAGGGTTTAGGGTTTAGAGCCCTGTTTGTATAGGGTCAAAACTCAACTCCTGCCCCAAGCTGAGGTCCTTGTCATTTCCGCAGGCCCTGGCCACTTTCAAATCCAGGATTTCCGGCCCCGCACCTGCTGCTCGGTCTTACTGTTAGGTGGTGGGGGGAATTGACGAAACGGCCCAATTCGTGCATTGTTTTGGATTGAGACGAGACCTCAAAAGGAAGCCTAGCTTAGAGAGCTCCCCAGGTGCTAGCCTCGCCGAACGAAAAAACCCCAAACCGATAAACCCTAAACCCTACAGGCCCTAAACCCGAAACCGAAATTTTAAACTTTTACTAAACCTACCGCCGTCCTCCCATCCCCGTCTTTTGAACCGTTCCTGCTTCGGGAAAGCCAGGGTCCAGGGTTTTGGTTACTTCGGGTTATGGGTTTAGGGTCCAGGGTTTTGACTATTTAGGGTTTAGGGTTTAGGGTCCAGGGTTTTGATCAAGGGGTTCAGGGTTTTAGGGAGTTGAGGGTTAGGTGCTAAGGTGTAGGGGATACTGGAACCCCGACATAAAATACCTCTGCCAACTCCGCGCTTCCCCAGCAGCTCCCGAGCCTATTTCAGGCGGGACAGATGGCAAAGCCACTCGCCTAGGTTGCCAGGGAAGAACCACATGTTCCACAGCATGAGAATTAGGGTTCAGGGTTTAGGGTTTGGGGTTTGGGGCTTAGGGACCCTGAAACCTGATGAGGCTCCAGCTCAAACGGAGCAAGGGGAGAACTCAGCAACACGGCGTGAGAACCTGCAGTCGCTATCGAAAGAAGGGCGACTGACATGAGGGATGTGGTTGGCATATCATAGGTAGACCATGCAGGTGAGCTTCTCTTGGGTGTGCACTTTTTGTACAGCGCAGCTGTGCTTAAACCCTAAACCGTTTTGCTAAGTCAGCACTGAGTGGCAGACGCCGTTCAACAATCAACTCAAAGCCTGGGAGAAGGCAACTTCCAAAGCAAAGAACTACAGGTTTAGGGTTTAGAGTTGAGGGTTTAGGGTTTATAGGGTTTAGGGACCACACTAACTTTTCACGCACACATACACCCGTACTGGTAGCTGCACAACGGTTTTCGTGGAAGGAGCTGTGCTGGGTCTGCAGGTGCCGCAGCCGTACCTGTCCCAGCTGTGGCTGCGAAGAAGTTGGGGAAAACGCTTTGAGTCCAAACGCTCGCTGTCACAGAGGAAGACACTTTTCTCTCTTTCGCAAATGCCTCCACAGCCGTGTGGGCTTTGTAGGCTGGGAGGTGAACGCTCATTATTGTGAGCTTTGGGGGGGGTTGATCTACACTATGGGACCTTTTTTGGTACCTAAACGTATCGCTTGATTTCGGTTTAGACTTAATGGGGATTAGTTTAGAACATAGAACTCCCTAAACCCTGAACCCTAAGCCCTAAGAGACCACACAAAAGAGCCCGTAGTTTAGATCAACCCCCATGTCGGTCCTTCCCAAACGCATGGGACTTCTCTCCAGAAGTGCGCGGGCACTCGCCTAGAAGCTTACGGAGGATAGCCACTCTCTCTTATAAAATACTTACTATATATACATACGTCTATATACACATATATATATATATGTATTTATCTATAAGATATACTTAATACTTAGATGTCGCCCGCAAGCGAGCCTTTCGCGTTTGGCGACTCAGTTCTCGTGCATTAAGCAATCCCGGCGCTCCGCTCTGCAAGGGGGAGATGGCCTGTGCCACAGACACCCCTCAGGCAGCCGCACTGTATGGGAATGCTGCAGAAACAATGAACCTTCCAGAATTCAAACTCATCGGGGCAAGTATGGTAGAAGATGAGTTCTGATGTTTGAATCCAGGATGCGCCCATGCACGTCCAGGATACCTGGAGCTCGTGCTTCAAAAGGCAAAGCCGTGGGTGCAACACTACGAGCCACGAACCGCCAGGAAAGATCTGACTCTGGGTCGAAAGGCTTGTGGTTTAGGAGAAATGTTCGTATTTAGGATTTCGGGCCTTGAGAAAGATTGTTGAGGGTCGGATCTTACATTCAGCGGGCGGCTGTCGCAAGTTCCAAAAACATCGTTACGAAGCGAAACTTGCCCTGACGTCTAAAAGCTGGAAACTATACCTTGCAGCGAATTGGACATCACGCCACTCAAACGAGCACGTGCCCTTTACATGCATGATGGAAGTGGCCGTGCATGAGACAGCTCTCACACTTGGGAGACGCTGCAGAATTCCGCCCTCTCCAAACTGTAACCAGTGTCTGAAGCCAGGCACAAAATCTAAACATTTCTGATTCTAATTTGTGCCCATGCAGCCCGTTCCCGAGTCTGTGCAGCAACACTCTCATTGCGAAAGGAACTGGCGCTGCAGGCATACCTGGTTCGCCGTGCTAGCTCTGTGCCTATCTTGGGGGAGCCGTCTCACCTTAAGACGGACAGCTCCACGGAAAAAGCAATAGCCCAAATGCTAGCACGACCGCAACTGTGTTGTAGGTTTTCGTCACAGCAGCGCTCAGCGGAAGATCGTAAAGAGCCTGTTGAGAGTTCAACCTGCTCAGGCTCGCCGGGGTTTAGGGTTTAGGGTTTAGGGGTTTAGGGTTTAGGGTTTAGGGTTTAGGGTTTCGGGTTTAGGCTTTAGGGTTTAGCTAGCCGAACGTAGCACTAACAGCAACAAGCCAGCAAACGCAGCGGACTACGCAGCTTCCCTTTGCCCTTACCCCCAACTCTAAATGTTCCCATTGTTAAAGTACCCGGAGCTTTATTTAAGTAGGATTTTGTGTATTAGGGGGGGAATACCCTCCGGCCTCCGATCGCTTTCAGAGGCTGAATCGGTCGAGCTAGAGATCTGGGTATCGTTTTGCTCCGATGCATTGCCAGCGGAGGGAGCATCTGTCGTAGAGACCCATGGCAACGGGGTTCCAAACGCGTGATGGCGCAAAGAGGCTCTAACCCAGCGTCCTTAGACCACATGGCAAAAGGGGAGGTTTCCGAACATTAGGTTACTCTGCTTTTAGATTTGGCAGCGTGATGGCGCGCAAAGGCTCTAACCCAGGGTCCTTAGACCATAGTGCCGAATATTAGGTTACGCTGCCTTTAAGGGGGCTGGATTATTTTAGTATTCTAGGCGGATCACTGTATGGCTGACATTAGATCAACCCCATGTACACAAAGCCTTAAGAAACCAGCATCCGACTGCTTGAGAAACATGTCAACATAATATTAAAGCAGCCGATTAATTTGCATTGTATTCGCGAGTTCCTTTGCGAACGGATTAGCGAGTTTGCGTTTTCTTGGTGTTTCTTTGTTTGTGTTCCTGGGTTGCTCGTGCGGGAGTGTGTGGGGTGGGGGGGGACGGAAACTCGCGCTAATTGTTAGCTTTGTTTCGCTAATTTATCACCATTTGTTGCCATGTGTTCGTAGGGAAACAGCGACGAACTAGCGAAAAATCCCGAAACATGACGACAAATTATCGAAGACTTAGCCCCGCAATTGTTCTTTCGTTTTCCTCTAGTTGTTTCAAATTTTTCTCTATGCTGCTCTGTTATTTTTCGCACAGCAAAAACACTTAATGCATCTGTGTTGTTTTCCAAGAATTGCAGGCCGGCGAACGCTTAAAAATAAAGATAAAATAAGCTTCCCTAAACCCTTAGTTTTTGGGTTCCCCTTTGGGGATGGTGGGGGGGGGGGGGGGGCTTTTGGAGGGGGCCTTTTGGAGGGCTGCTTTGCGGGGGTCTTGGGTGACTTCTTCACCCTAGAACCCCTGGAACCCTAGAAACCCTAGAGCCCCAGAACCCCACCCCTAAACCCTAAACCCTAAACACCCTAAACACCCTAAACACCCTAAACACCCTAAACACCCTAAACACCCTAAACACCCTAAACACCCTAAACACCCTAAACACCCTAAACACCCTAAACACCCTAAACACCCTAAACACCCTAAACCCTAAACCCTTCATCTCTCGGCCAGGGTGCCCGAGGGTGTGAGGTCGGCCGGCCCCCAGTGGCCGTTGGTGGCAGCGCCGGGCTCAAGTGCAGAACAAGACTCCTTCTTGTCGTTGACCTTGGATTTGAGGGGTCTAGGGTTTAGGGTTTAGGGTTTAGGGTTTAGGGGCCGGACCTTTGAAGGGTTGATGGAGTTTACATGTTTTAGGGGTATAAGAGTTTAGCGGGCTTGGGGTTTAGGGCTTCTTGTCATGGGGATTTTATGGACTTTACGGGGCTCATTCTTCTCGACACTGACCTTTGGGTTTGTAGAGATTCTGGGGAATTAAATACGGGCTTATGGGTGAGAGGGGGTTTTATGGTTCTATGGCGGTTTACAGGGTTCATGGGGACTATGGCGTCTAGAGGGTTTAGGGGGATGATTGGGTTTTTTTTCAAGGCTTTCAGGGATTAGGGTTTACAGGGCTTTTGGGTTCATAGGCTTTATACGGTTTACAGGGTTTACGGCGGTTATGGGGTATCGGGGTTTAGGGTCAATACGGTTTGCAGGGTTTGCGGGGTGGTTATGGGGGCTTATACGGTTTACAGGGAGGGTTTATGGGGTACATGGGCATTTCCCAGAGTAGGGATACCACGTTCATACCCCAAATAGAATAGAATCCCCTTAAAGGGACCCCCGAAAAGGGTACCCCCATTTTCGAGAACCACCATATGGGGCTTGTTGAGGGGTTTATGGGCGTTTATGGTTTGTCGGGGCTTAAGGCTTATACCAGCCAAGGGCTTCTGGGCCTTGGAGATCCTTCTTGTCATGCGACCCTTTGGGGGCTTTCAGATTGACATGGGCTTCAGTTTGGGGGTTTAGGGTTTCGGGTTTAGGGCCTTAGGTTGATTTAGGGAAGGTTTTGGGGGTTGGTGGAGCGTTCGGGGCTCGTCCTTCTTCTCGTTGACCTTTGAGCTTCGGGTCTTTGGAGCTTGTACAGGTACAACGAGGGCTCTAGATTCAGTACTGATGTGTATCTTGGCAGTGCTGGAAATGACGAGGTAACATGTAGCTACAGCAGTTCCTTGACTCAGGGTGTTGCAAAGGACCTGCAAAGTGAAGCTGCTTGCTGAATCACCAAAGCCTTCAAGCGAGCCACTGCCCAGTTTGCATCTGAAATATTGTACTCTGCCTCAGCGAATCCGCAATCAAGAAAGTCGCCCTCACATGTAAGCCTGTTTTGGCCCGTGCGGCCAGATCCATCAGCTCTTCCAAGTAGCTCCGAGCGTGCCATCAGTCGCAGCAACGGTTCAAGGGTTCAAATCAGATCGTGATTCACACACGCCAACCTTACGCGTCTGAGCATCCTGCCATGAAATCCTCCCATTTCTGCGCCTCCTCAAGGTCCAGATGTCCATTCCCGTTGGCTTCACACGTCCCCCACTCCGATACAAACCTTTGAGCAGGCAGCATGAAGTCGAAGCTACATGGGATACGCATGCTGCTATACATTTCTCATTTCTCTGACATGACCTCCATCGCCAAGCGGCAATGCTACTCCGCTATCCAGGGCCTTCAGAGCTTTGTCCCTGAGGTACTGAGTATGCGTTCCCGCATAGAAGTGCAGGGTGTATACGATGTTTTTCACGCCTGGCACACAAAAGGATTCTGACACCATCACTTGACATCATATGATAGATGCGTCCACACAGGCCTTGAATGCGATGATGCGACGCAACATCAACATCTTGCGACCAGGTTGGAGTTCCGCAAATAACGATATTGTCGGAATACTCCCGAATCACCTGTGCCAATGGACCCTAAATGCTAAACCCTAACCCCGAACCCCTAACCCCTAAACCCTAAACCCTAAACCCCAAAGACTTGTTTGCGGACCCTTCGAAGCGGACGCACGTCTGAGCACTGCTGGGCTGCTAGGACGATTCATGCTCGCCTCACTTCCAACTGCTTGCGGCAGTCAGAACGGAAATGTTGACAACATCAGCATACATTATCAAATGATTGGATGATTACATTAGATGTATCTAATTTATAGAATCATGTCAAGATGTCATCGTTATGGATACAGGATAAGATGCTTGTATTATGTTGTTCGATTGTTTATCTATATTGCTATATTGTCACAGTACATATATACACACATATCAGTATATGTTCGATATTTTTGTGTTATGTGTTTTGTATTTGATGTTCGTATATTACTTATGCTTGTATATGTTCTTAAATTCTGTGACTAGTATAGCAACATAAAAGTCATTATACGATGATGTTATTTTATAATTAATTTGTTGTGCCATTCAAGCAATGTGTATTGTATTTTATTGCATGGTATAGAATACTAAAGAAGTGAATACAATAAGAATAGAATATCATAATCATACATCGGATAAGAGTATTTGTACAGCATTAAAATTCTATTAAATAGCTTTTTATCTTGTACAACTATTCTTATCCGATGCTTGATTTTGATACTCTATTCTTATTGTATCCACTTCCGTAGTATTATCATATCAAACTCATATAACATTATATTCAGGTAATTCTATATTGTTACATCACTTCTTATTCCACCGTTATACCCTAAACCTAAACCCTAAACCCTAAACCCTAAACCCTAAACCCTAAACCCTAAACCCTAAACCCTAAACCCTAAACCCAAACCCTAAACCCCAAACCACACTTATGAGTTGATGGCCTTCAGTATGTTCTGGTGGTACGGCTTGACGGCCTCCCAAGAGACGCCAGAAACACAAGCGTCAGACAAAGGCACAACACTCCTGCAGACGATTCCTTTAGGGTTTAGGGTTTAGGGTTTAGGGTTTTCGGTTTAGGGTTTAGGGTTTAGGAGATTGTCTGAGCACATGTGCTTGCTTCTACAGACTCTAATGATGTGCCTAAGTTGCCCCTGAGCTTGAATCGAGCTCAGGGCACACTACATGGCTGGGTGGTGACAGATCTTCGGATACACAAAACACCCGAAATCCGCAGGGTTGAGGGTTTATGGCCCAGGTTTTCAGATGCGAAGACTTGCGGGGCTTTGAACGGGCTGAAAGGCTTAGAGAGGATGCGAAGACCCTAAACCCTAAACCATAAACCCGAAACCCCTCATAAGCCCGAATAAACCCTAATAAACCCTAATAAGCCCGAACAAACCCGAATAAACCCTACTAAACCCTAATAAACCCCAATAAAACCTAATCAACCCAAATAAACCCTAAACCCTGATGTCCTGGCTCCAGCTCTGCCAAGTCGGTTCGTTGAATGTCTCGAACAGAACATTCGGCAGATGGCCATAGGTTTTCGCCTCCAGCCCCAACCTCCCCCCCCCCCAAAAAAAAAAAAACACCCCAACACCCCTAGGGCTTGTCGGGAAGTGGTCGGCTTTATAGGGGCCACATCAACGTTGCAAATGTCATGGATCCCACGGCGTCACCCTCGTAGACGGAGTGACGCGCAGCATGACCCCTCAAAGATGCCGCTGGGGCGCAATCTCACGGAAAAAGGTCTTTGCTTTTGCAGCGTTCCTGATGGCATGATGGTCGTGCCAGTCGACAATGACATAAATGCCTCCCAGAAGCATCAGGTGTTAAACTGCCATACCGCACATGCTGCACGGGCAACTGCAACTGGTCACTTGCTTGTCTTCCTGGATGGGCTATTATACCCCATAATCCCTTAAAAAGCCCTTTATAGGGTTCATTATGAGGGATTTAAGGCCTAATAGCCCATCCTGGCTCATTCTCTTCAGGCCTAGAGCATGAGCAGCGTAGATCACACGCTTGAGCTTATGAAGCCTTGATGTCAGCAACAATCAGACACAAACAGCCGCACGGACGATCGAGCAATCTTTGTCTACGACGTGGTGAAGCTGTAGTTTAAGCCGGTTTTATTATTTTTGTTTGTTGCAACAATTTGGTTCCAGCTAGTTCTTGGATTTTGCGGTTCGCGGTCTTCGAAATCGTGCAAAGCCGCCACAGCCCCGTGCTCGACGGCAGTGCACAGCTGGCGTCGCTTTTTATTGGCGTGGTAGTTGAGTTCCAGCGGCACTCGAAAGCCCTCTTGTGAATGTGCACACGTAGGTGCTGCAGGGGTTAGTAGCGCGGTCACGTCACTTGGAGTTCCAGTCCAAAACTGGGTCCATGCCATCCTTTGGGCGGCGCATGGCGGTGTTCCGAAAATCCTGGTCTGTGATTTCTGGAGCCTTTGTTGTAATTTGAGTTCATAAGGGCTAACATAATGCCGAGAGGCTCGATGTCTGGTCGATCTAAATATCCACCAGCTTCCACCCCCATGGCAGCACGGATCATCTCAATGCCCCAATCCTGGGAGCGGTTTCCAAGGCCGAAACGAAGGATCAAACAGAGGCCTTTGAGAGCTTGGCTCGCCGAAGCCACCTGAGCGTATCCTCATTCCAGTACGCACCTCCCCACCTGAGCTTGGCACCCATTTGCCTGGTTCTTAGTAGGGCATGGGGGAATGTACCCTACATAGTCCCTGAAAGGGTATATACAGGGGATATAGGGTACCTCATTCCCTCATTCCCTACTAAGAACCAGCCAGTTGTGAGGTCAGGTGAGAAATGGTGCAAAATCACAGAGGGCGCAACAGCACAAACGCCCCTTCTTCCACCACTGTGGCCATGCGTTGGCGTGTCATTGGCCAATCTCTCCTACCGGCGTCTTTGAGCCTGAGGGCGGCTCAAAGCTGTACAGCGGCTACTCATGTCATGACAATGTCAAGCCGCCTTGGGCATCTCTGCAGCGTTGTCAGGCTCACGTGCCTTCAGCATCAACTGGTCACGCATATCGTTGGTTCGGGTTCTTTAATCCGAGTGCTCCAATGTCTGCTGACCCAGCGGTTCCGACCGCAGCGGCGTTCTTCGCAAGCGCTTCTCTCGCGCTTACTCCGCCCGGGGACACAGGAGGCACGCCTGTCATATGCAAATCCATCCGCCAGGCAACCATCAAGCGATATGGGCTGTGTGGGTTTCAAGGTTGCTTACGGACTCGAAGCCACAAACTCCGCAAGCTTATCCCTATCTGGACCACAAAGCAAACCCTCAACCCGAACAACACACCATCACACACCTGAACCCTAAACCCTAAACCCTAAACCCTAAACCCTAAACCCTAAACCCTAAACCCTAAACCCTAAACCCTAAACCCTAAACCCTAAACCCTCACGCGCCTGGCGTCCCATTGTTGCCATTGAACGGGCTCGTCGGCTGCGGGACCACTCCAAAAGGTCGCATGCCACCGGGACCTGGTGGCCTGAGGAAAGAAGCTTCAGGTCGGAATGTTCCCCCTTATACTAACAGTCCTTAATAGGGATCTTAATAAGGGGGGTACTCTTATATGTTCCCCCTTATACTAACAGTCCTTAATAGGGATCTTAATAAGGGGGTACTCTTATATGTTCCCCCTTATACTAACAGTCCTTAATAAGGATCTTAATAAGGGGGGTACTCTTATCCCTATTCATGACTGTTAGTATTAAAAAGTCCTTCATAGGATTTTCATAATAAGGGGTACTCTCTAATCCCTATGAAGGACTGTTGAATCTCAGGGGGAACAGCCCAAGCTTCAGGGTTCGTAAGGTTGTGGGTGTTTGGGCTGGCTTCACTCCGGCCTTGGAGTATTATGGGTTTAGGGTTTAGGGTTTAGGGTTTAGGGATGCCGACTGCCCTGACATTTCCAGAATACTCCCCATGTTGAAGGAATCGCCGTCCAAATCCGAAAGGAAATGCCAAGACCGGGGTTTCGACCGCAAAAACCATCGGACCCCGACCAGACACTCCTGAGACTACAGCAGAAGCGACCTAAAACAATTTTTCTTGCCAAACCTTTATCACTTCTGTCATCCGAGAAGTACTGCGCCCTCCCCGAGCAGATATGCTCAAAGAAAGCTATTTGTGGTATCGCACAGCACCAAAAAAAGTTCGGACGTGGATTCCACAGAAAATTCCGATTAGTGTCTTAGGTTGATAGGGATTACAAGCCTTAGGCTGCAGGGCTGCGGGGCACAGTTGAGGGGTTTAGGGTTTAGGGTTTAGGGTTTAGGGTTTGAGGAGCTTCTGCATCCAAGCTTCATAACCGGCATTCCGGGTACCATCCTCGGGTTCCATGTAAGAGCATCCTTTGGGATGTTCCCCCCTTATACCAACCGTCATGAATAGGGATTATAATAAGGGGGTTTAGGGTTAGGGTTTAGGGTTTAGGGTTGAGGGTTTAGGATTTAGGGTCTAGGTTTAGGGATTAGGGTACTATAATCCCTATTAAGGGCTGCTAGTATAAGGGGGAACATCCCAAAGTATCCTCTGAGGCCTTCTGTGTGCTGAAGAAGGCTCCAAAACAAGGGTACCACTAGGTTTCCGAGGATTGCTTGAAGGCCTGCAAGGGCTACCTGCAAGAGACAAAATACCAAGACTGAGCTGCCTAATTTAGGGCTTTCAGGCTTACAGTAGGGGTACCTACCACATGCAGGCAGTCCATTCTGGCAACTCTTTTCCCTAAACCCTGAACCCTAAGCCCTCTAGCCCTAAACCCTATAGCCGCAAACCCGAAACCCTGTAGCCCTAAACCTCAAACCCTAAACCCTAAACTCTAAACCCTAAACCCTAGCCCCTAAGCCCTAAACCCTATAGCCCTAAACCAGCCGGGGAGCGGATGGACTTGCTGGACTTGGCAGTACTGCGGGAAAGGCGGCATCGGAGGTGTCATCTGGCAACCTCCCCTTAGATGCCACGCAGGGGCATGTGGGGCTTAGGGGCGTGGATGGTAGGGTTTAGGGTTTAGGGTTTAGGGTTTAGGGTTTAGGGTTTAGGGTTTAGGGTTTAGGGTTTAGGGTTTAGCGTTTAGGGTTTAGGGTTTAGGGTTTAGGGTTTAGGGTTTAGGGTTTAGGGTTTAGGGTTTAGGGTTTAGGGTTTAGCAGCCACCTGCACGCTCGCTGCTGCTTACCGCAGCGCCCGCAGCGCGCTCTAGTTTGTAGGGTTTAGGGTTTAGGGGCCCACCGTGTTGGGTATTGGGGTGTGGGCGGTATGGAGAAAAGGGTTGAAGGGGGGCGAAAGACCTGAGCCCTAAACCCTAAACCCTAAAAGCCATAAGCCCTAAACCCTGAAAGCCCTAAACCCTCAAAGCCCTAAGCGCTAAGCCCTAAACCCTAAACTCTAAACCCTAGACCCTAAACACTTAACCCCAAATCCAAGGCAGGCTCAGGCTCATAGGACGATCAAAGGGCACACCAGGAGCCGCCGCAGGTGGCCTTGCCAAGCAAGGGTTTAGGGTTTAGGGTTTAGGGTTTAGGGCTTAGGGCTTAGGGCTTAGGGTTTAGGGTTTAGGACTCGCCCCGCTAGACCCTGACGAAGCCCTCAGTGTGTCCAAGTGTATAGGGAGGTTTGTTTAGGGACAACCCGAATTGAGACCCTCAACCCTTGTGAGAGCAAGAGCGTGCAAGCTCTGCATCCCTGAAAGAAGGAGCTACTGCGACTGCGACGGCACTGAGGAAAGAAAACGTTGGCGTAAGAAAATGAGGGGTTCGGTCGAAAGTGCAATAAGAAACTAAGAAATGCAGGATACCTCAGCTGTGGGGCCAAATCTTCTTATTTGGGGGGTCACTGGTCGTAAGAAATACCAGACCTGCCGAAACCCTCCAAAACTAAACTCAGACTTCCAGCTCCCTGAGTGTCTGAATTTAGTTTGGCTTGTCAGGCTTTGGATTTCAGAAAGAAATAAAATCAATACAGAAATTCAGGGTGCCCTCGACGTGCGGGGCCACATTTCTGAAAGAAAGGGGGCCTCAAATTTAAGAAATCCCGGGTGCCTTGACCTGGAGTTGTCGATCTCAAGCCACACGGTTAAGAGCCCTACCCTTCTCAAAAACTCACGGAGCATGCTTTGAGTCCTATACATGAACCCCTAAACCCTAAGCCTCAACCTATAACCTCCGAGACTCCAGCCTATCCCAGATATCACCCGATATTGTTCAGATTCAGGCTTGACCCTCTGAACCCGCAATCCATCCCCTCCATCTTTTCAACGCGTTGTTTCAGCATGGGGGGGGGGGGTTCCGAACATGCCGGGTGGAAGGAGGGGGGGGGGGTCCTTTTAACAAGGATTTAAGATGTTGTTGGGGGGACCATGAAGAGAATACCCCGATTTGTGGGAAATACCCAACTGAATGATACTCAACACCGCAGTTCTCCAGACTTGCTGCTCGCTTGCAGCTGATGGTCTTCAGGCCTAGGGGTTGTAGGGTTTATAGGGTTTACAGGGGTTACGGGGTTTGCAGGGTTTGCAGGGTTTGTAGGGTTTGTAGGGTTTGTAGGGTTTGTAGGGCTTGTAAGGCTTGTCGGGTTTCAAGACCCCTTTTGTCCACGGTCCGCGCCTTATCATTGGGGCCTGGGCATAGGTCACCGGAGGCATGTTCCTCAGTTGGCAAGCCCTCACCCCCTGAACCCTTAAACCCCGACACTCCGAACCCCCTAAACCCCGGAACCCCTTGGGGTTTGTTGTTTAGGGTTTATTAGGGTCGCCGAAAACCAAGATGGACTTGGATTCCCGCAGAAGCTGAGAACGGACGAGGCGCAACGCCTGGAGGATGTTCTCAAGCTCCTTTTGCACCGCCTGCTCCACGTGCTTATCCAGAAGTAGCACTCATTCAGCTGTGGTGTTACGAAGGTTCATGTGTGATTTGTGCATCTCGTCCCCTGAAATCCCGAACTCTACATCCCAAAACCTGCACCCGCAGAGCCTCGCTTTGATACCATAAATGCCCCAAACCGGAGAGGTCCGACACTTCTTAGACGTTTGCCCTACGTAGGGGGAGGGGAGTACACATGATGCCAAGCACCGCCACCCCTCACCACCCAGAGAGTCAGGGCTGGGTAGGTGGGGGGAGGGGGGGGGAGGGGGAAGGGCAGTGGTAGCGACCGTGCCAAAACACCGGGCTGGAGAAAACTTGTCACTAACCTAAACCCTATAAACCCTAAAGCGTACCTCGGATTGATTTTGAAGCTCCGAGGACTTCATCAGGTGCGACTCGGCGAGCCGACCTTTCGCACACCCGTGCCCGCGCGTAGGCGGACGGTTTAGGGTTTAGGGTTTCGGGTTTAGGGTTTGGGGTTGAGGGTCTAGGGTTACCCATCTAGGGGGAGTTTCATGGTCCCTTAATATGGTCTCTTGCCTGCTGTAAAGGGTTCTGAAGTATCGGAAATGAGGGGCATGAAACTATGCGGAGGACCCAGAGTTGGGCATCTCGGGGCTTCTGGGACTAACAGGGTTCAGAGGGCTTCTAAGGTTTCTAGCGCTTCTGGGGCCTCCTCTAAGGAGAGTACTACACACATATACTCACATATATATATATATAGGGTACATATATACAGAAAGGTAAGGCTGCTGCTGAAACATCAAAACCCTCAAAACCCTGGCGACCTGCATTACTCCAGTGCGGGAAGGAGCTGACCTTCACCAAATCTGGGCCTTCTAGTCTCGAACTTCGCTAATCCGGATCAAAGCGTCTTTAAAGAAGGGCCAAAACAGCAAGCAGGGTTCCACAAGAGTAATATGAGAAATGTCGCAGTGGTCGTCGTGCCCGCAGCCAAGGTGCGGTGTTCGTCGATGCCCCCCAGATTTTCTGCCAGCGCACCCGTTTGGCCTTGTAGGACTTGGTCCAGCATCTGATGCATCCTCACGGCAGTCATGAGGCCAAACCCTAAACCCTAACCCCTAAACCCTAACCCCTAACCCTAAACCCTAACCCCTAAACCCTAGCCCTAAACCCTTAGGGTGTTAGGGTCTATGGGACATATAGGCTTTATAGGGCTTTATGGGCTTCAGAGGTTCCTAAGACCAGTCCTTGGATTGGGGTCCAACATGGGGCTTCAATTTCAGGAACCCAGTCATAAAACTGTTGTCTACATGAGTTGAATAGAAACCATAAGCAACAGAACGTTGTAGGTGCATACTACGAATAGTGCCAGGTAGGGGTTGGATGGTTGAACGTCGAGCATAGGCGCGTAGGCGCATAGACCAGGGACTTGGGGGTTAGGACTTTGTTCGAACGGTCTCTTCCAATCCAAAGAGCTGCTGCTTCAGGAGGGGATCGCTCATGTTGGCCTTGTTTCCGACCTGGCATGGCATGACGTGGATCCACGCTTTGTTCTAGGCGCCTGCCCGAATGGGAAGCATGCCCCTGTCAGGCCCTTTTCTGCACATGTCCGGCCTCGCTCGCTTTGCCCATCAGCATGGAAGTGTTGCCCGCGATGCTCTCCAACATGATGTGATATCTGAGACAAAAGTGGTCTCATGTGGTCTCAGAGGGGCTGAGGGGCTGTCGCCCATTTTTATGGCGGCGGTTGCACCAAGGCACTGACTACTAACGTCGAGTCCCGTCAGCAGTTCTCAACCGAAGCTTCCACAGCACCACGGGCAACGCCCTGCCAAGTAAATCCAAGCAGCTGCTTTTCTTTGCCCAGCTGGTACGCCAGGAGGTCTGCGCATCTGGCCAACTCTGCGCGATAGCGCACAACCTGAGACACCCACCCTGCTCCGCATCGACCAGCGATCGCCTACAAAACAAATGAAACTATGAGCACTGCAATTATCTGAACACTGAGCCCAAGCAGATAAGCGCCAGGCATCCTCTGTCAACTGCTGAACCTGCCGAAGAAGGCAGTCTTGCAGCAGGGCCCCCTTAAGGTCGAGCTCTTTAGAGCATGGAGCAGACACTCTCAGTGATGCCTCCCGCTCGAACTCCAAGCAGAGTTGCTCCGTCACTTGCTGGCAGAAGTTACGGAATGCATTGACCTTCCCCGGCGATGGCGATGGGGCCACTTTGGGGGGACTTCAGCTTCCCTTGCTCATAGTACGGCAGCGGGAAAGTAGGTAGCTACATATATATATATATATATACACACATGAAATAATTACAAAATAAATACAAATATAAATAAATACAATATATATATATATATATATATATACAATGTATATGTATATACACAATACTCATTGGCTCCATTGCAAATGCCGAGGTCTTGGGTCCTAACCTCTGCTTGCCTACTTGTCAGGACCCCAGAACATGGTTCACCGCCTTCGGCGCCGTCTCCAGCGAAGCCGGGCTGCCTCCGGGCGCCCCAAGCCCGGGACTGGGCGCCCCTGGCGCAGGAGACCGCGCCAGCATCGCCATGGCAGCTTCCAGGGATGCGCCCGCAGATGCCCACACTTAAGCCCTCTCAAGTCGGTTATGTTAGGCGCATGGCGAACTTTTGAAGGGGGAAGTTACAAATCGTGTCGACTGGCTCGAAGGCAATCATTGTAGACCCTCCATGATCTGCTTCGGGCCGTGGGCCAATCATGATCCGGCATGCACGCGCCTTCATGTGCAAGCTCCAGCACCCTAAACCCTAAACCCTAAACCCTGAACCCTGAACCCTATAAACCCTAAACCCTAAACCCCAGCAATGCGGCAGAGGCACTGTGACCAAAAGAGTGACATGCCACGGAGCCGGACAGATTCGCCGTGCTGACCTCAAAAGTACCAAGTATTGCAAGTCGGCGGGGGGCTGCTCTAAAGTAGGGGTTTAGGGTTTAGGGTTTAGTGTTTAGGGTTTAGGGTTTAGGGTCCCTTTGGGGGTCCTGTTTTCGGAGTGCTTGTTCTTATAACACCTACAAACGGTACCTTCTTCAGGGACCCTCGGTTAGACACTGCATGCATTTGTGTCGCATTCTGAGGCTGCCACCCACTATTTGAGTCCCAACGACCCTAAGCTGTCCGTGCTCGGCAACAGGACTTCCTGCAGAGGACTTGTCTACACACTCTACACACGTGTCTAGAAACTCCAGCTACACATTCCAATGAGCCCTGCCTTCTGGTGGAAAAGGCAGTGTAGTTGTCATTGTAACACTGCTAGTGCTGAGCGAGCTCGTGCTCACAGAGCTAGTGGTGGTGTGCGTTGTGCTGGTACCAGAAACGGTTGTAGACCTCACACAGAAGACGTCGGCAAAAGTTCCAAATCTTAGTTGCCCCAATGCAAGCCCAGAGGCCGTGATGTGCTAGTAGCTGTAACCGTATCACCGGCGAAACTGCAATAGCCCTCATACGCGCCACCTTTGCTGAGCGCTCTCAATTGTGCTCCTCAAAATCAGAACTTTAATACAGAGCAAGCATCGGTTCGACAGAGGGGCGCGGGAGAGCATGCAAGAAAGCAGCAGGGGGGCTTGTAAGAGCAATCACGGTCACATCTACATGAGGATCAGAAGATGCGCCACCGAACAGCCGAATCTCGAAAGCAGAATGTCTCATTGCAGTCGAAGCCGCCATTTGGCGGCGGTAAAGGAACAGTCATGCAACTACTGCTTGGCGCTCCACCTCATAACGCTGCGGACAGACTTGAACTTCTCAGGCCACAGCGAAACGGGATCACATCACTGCGGGACAACAAAGCTTCAGCAGTGCGCCCAAGCAACATGCCCAATTCACGCCCGTTCGGGTGGAATAGCATGCGCCAGCCACTGCCTCACTATCGCAGCCGCCTTGCCAAAGACGGACGGAGCAGATTGACAGTTGCAATTGCCAGAGGCAGAAAACCTGGACACTCTGCCACGTCACCCTTTCTGTGCTTCTGATATGCTGTCCTTGCTTGCCACTCATGAGTCTCCCATTTAACTGGAAGACGCTAGATCTTGTCCCGAAACCGAAAACCAAGACTTGGTCGTGCCCCCACGGACTTAAGCTTTTCTGATATTCGCATGCACAGAACAAATCATACGAACACCTCGAGAAGACCTGCAAATGATCGTGTGACACTGCTCGAAGTCAAACAGCAGATGGACAGGGAGATGAGCCAACTAGGTCAGGCTGAACAGATCGGATGTATAAGCCCAACTCCAACCCTAACCCTAAACCCTAAACCCTAAACCCCCATCTTCTGTTGAGGTTTCTGGAGATGTGCAGCAATTACGCGTATGGCTCGGCCTGGAGATGTGGGCAATTCTGTACAGCGTATCTCTGTGCTGCCAATGCCTTGGCTTTCGCAAGATAAGAAATCACAACAGGGTTTAGGGTTTCGGGGTTTAGGGTTAGGGTTTAGGGTGTGTAGGGTTTAGGGCTCAGGGTTCGAATCAGGGTTTTAAGCCCGGGTGTCGAGGCCACTGTGAGCGCCGACCGCCCGCGTCACACTGGCATTGGAGGACTCTGCAGCCCCTGACCCTGATCCGGTAAACTTTGCAACTTATCAATTTGCAGGTCAGGGATCAAGGGGTGATACAACTAAACCCTAAACCCTAAACCCTAAACCCTAAGCCCTAAGCCCTAAGCCCTAAGCCCTAAGCCCTAAACCCTAAACCCTAAACCCTAAACCCTAAACCCTGCAGCTAAGGAGCTGCTGCCGTTTGCTGTGGCCACGACCGCGGACACATATAGCAAGTTCGTCATCGTTCGAGTTCTCCTAGGCACCTTCCGTCTCCCTGACCTCGGATGACGGCGCTTGGGATGCAGGAAGACGGTTTAGGGTTTAGGGTTTAGGGTTTAGGGTTTAGGGTTTAGGGTTGCATTCCGACTGATGCTGCCCCGGAACGCTGCGGCAGCATACATCTTGCGTGGGAACCCAGTGGAACTCACTTTGGAGACGTGTCTAACGTGTCCAGCAACTTGAGTGCAAAGGCACAGCGGCAAGCGAACATAGAACGCAGAAGTCGCACTCTGAGTTGCGGCACTAGTGATCCGTGGACCCCTAAACCCTAAACCCTAAACCCTAAACCCTAAACCCTAAACCCTAAACCCTAAACCCTAAACCCTAAACCCAATGATCAGACGCTGACCTGCTCAAGATCAAATGCGCTCGGGCTGTTTAGATACACACGATGCTGCCTTAGGAGAGACACGCCATGGAAGTCCAAGCACAACATGCGCACAGGAAGATATCCGGGGGCTTCCGAAAATGGCAGTAGGCTATTTTGAGGTTCCTTGGGGGCACCTCTATTTGGGGCAAATGCTCATATCGACCTAAACCCTGAACCCTAAACCCTAAACCCTAAACCCTAAACCATCGATCCCGGCGCACCACGTGGCCAGTTGGCCACCGTCGAGCTCGCCGTTGAGCAGGCGCTACAGACCCACTCAACACCTTAAAAGGCCACGGCACACGGCCAGAATAGGGTTTAGGGTTTAGGGTTTAGGGTTTAGGGTTTGAAGGCCGGGAAGAGGCGATAGGAATGCCAAAAAAACCTCAACAACTCTGTTCTGGGGAATGCACCGGTGCTGCAGCAGCAGCCAAGGCAGTGAGAGGTCCAGGTAGCCGCTTCAGATCCTCCCAAGCTCGCAGAATATACGTAAGGAAGGATCATTCTGATAGCCTTACCAGTATGGCAGTACTACACACCTAGTTTATACAACATTATATATATATATATACATATGTAACATGATCAGTCGAAGGCCACAGAAAGTCGTGCCTTTGCGCGCCTTCTCGGAGGAGAAGAACAGGCCTGAAGGATGCAACTGTATTTGAAGGTATTTCCCCAACATTCCCCAAAATAGGGTTTAAGTTTAGGGGAGCTTCTGGGTACCCTGCATATACCCTCAACAGACGATAACCCTTCTAGGAACTCCCCCAAGAAAGGTGAGTCATACGTCACCCCTGTTGCTTTTTTAAACATCTGTAACTATCAGTTGGAGTGGAATGCGTTCAGCCGCGTGGCCTTCCAGCCGAATGCGTTGGCCGCAAGGCCATGTGAGCATCCCAAGCGACTCAACATCGTACGTAACTAGTTCACGGTCAGGATAGGATGAGAAAAAAAAGCTTTCTATTCCTTTTCGAGTTTAAGTACCCTTAAGAATGTAAAATGCTACCGCCCGATGACAAAGGTAACGCTGCACATCCGACCGTGTCTATCTCCGACTTAGCTGCTTGGTAGACGATTGGTGGCAGACCTTCTCTGACTTCTCCGAGCTAGTTGGAGCTTGCCATGTTTGCTAAAAGTTAGCTCCGCGTTCAAGCCACGTACATTTAGCTGAACGTCTTGTGCTAGTGTCTGTGCGCATTGATTCACAGCACGAGCATGTCGAAGCTGCCGCTGGCGGCATGCTGTGCTTGAGCAAACACTAGTTTGAGCGTGGGGCTTCTTCAATTTGGGATGCTTGCGCTGGTCGCATTGACTTTGAGGCCTCTTCCAGTCGAATCAGCCGATCGTTCCCCTGAGAGTAGACAGCAGGCAAGCTTGCCCAAGCGAGCGCGCAACACACCGGCAAGCACATGCGCCCCCACGCACACACAGAGTGAACCATGAAGCCACATGCATGCACGAATGCTGAGACAGGCACTGCGACGTGGTGTACATCATCCTCAGATCGGACTGATCTAGCTTAGGGCTGTTCAGGGCGAGCCCTAAACCCTAAACCCTAAACCTTAAACCCTAAACCCTAAACCCTAAACCCTAAACCCTAGGACGCATTCATCCAGGTCACGTTGCTGATGCCATGACCGGGCGAGATCACTTCGAAGGTTTCATCTTTTCCCTCAGGGTTCAAGGTTTTGGGTAGAGGCCTTGTAGGGTTTAGGGTTTAGGGCTTATATAATTGACTCTTAGGGTACAAACCTTAGGGTTTAATCCCTTCCCCCTAATATTAAACGGGGGGTCCCCCCCCCCCCTTTAAAAATTCGAAAAGTATTTTTATTATTAGGGGGTATTTTTATCGAAATGTCGCCAAATTAGACTTAGGGCATAGGGTTTAGGGCTTAGGGTTAAGTAGGGTTTAGAGTAGCAAGACAGCCAGGCAGGAAAGATCTGGCATATAGTATGACTAGTCAGGTAGGCTGAGGAGAGCCAGGCTCACAGGCAGCCAGACAGGCAGCCCGCAGACAGCTTCGTGCTGCGAAAAGCCTTGACTCCGAAGCCTAAACCCTTAATGAACCCTAAGCCCTGAACCCTAAACCCTAAACCCTAATTAGACCCTAAACCCTCCTTGGCTTCAGGGTTTCAGGAGCCCTGAACCCCCCCCCTAATTCGGAATAGGTTTTAAAAGGCGGGCTCGGTTTCGGGAGGTTTTTCCGGAAAGTATTTTTATTATTAGGGGGGTATTTAATAAAAGGGGGAAGGGATTATAGGATTTACAGCTGAAAAATGTTCAGGGTTTGGGGTCGAAAGGCAACAGCCGCGGAGTCTCCGCACATGCCGGCTCCCCAATTCCCTTCGGAGTATCCGCAAAAGTGGATCCCCTTATTTCTTGCGTAGAGGGTTAGATTCTACTTCTTGGATTCTGGGGTTAAGAGTCCTTTCGAGGACTAAACCCTAAACCCTAAACCCTAAACCCTAAACCCTAAACCCTAAACCCTAAACCCTAAACCCTAAACCCTAAACCCTAAACCCTAAACCCTAAACCCTAAGCCCAGGCCTTGGATTGAATCAGCTTGTGCCTCCGCAAGACCACCTCAAGGTCCTCTCACTTGCGACTTTCCTCTTGGGGAAATGAACCCTAAAATTGGGTGATTTAGGGTTTAGGGTTTAGGGTTTAGGGTTTAGGGTTTAGGGTTTAGGGGTCATACACCCTACACGACTATAATCCCTATGAAGGTAATATGAACCCGAAAAATTGGGGTCATATGACCCTATACTGCTATAGTCCCTGGGAATATGAAGCATAAGCCCTTTTAGGGTTGATTTCTGGTCCCCTTTGCAGGGTTTGGGGGGTTTAGTTGTAGGGTTTGTAACTGTACTTATAAGCCAAGTTTACCAGATACTAGGGCACCTAAGGAGCTTACAAGTGGGTTATAAGTACAGTTCTCATTGGGTTAATATGTGCCCTAAACCCTAAACCCTAAACCCTAAACCCTAAACCCTAAACCCTAAACCCTGAACCCTGAACCCTGAACCCTGAACCCTGAACCCTATAAGTACCCGACCAAGTAGAAACCAGCGAAAAGCGCAGCTGTGCTGCGGGGGTCGGTCCTCCCTGAGCCGACTGATCTCCAAGCCGGTCAACTTGGAATCCGACCTGGCGCTAGGGTTTAGGGTTTAGGGTTAGGGTTTAGGGTTTGGGGTTTAGGGTTTAGGGTTTAGGGTGTAGGGTTTAGGGTTTAGGGTTTAGGGTTCAGGTACCCGCACTCTTGCAAACCGTCCTGATGCTTCGGACAAAGTAGATGTGCTTCGCGCCGCTTTCGTCGTTCTGCAAGTCAGGTGAAAGCCGGTACAACATCCACTCGAGCGAAGCAAGGATGACGGCGGAAGATGCAATCTCCGCGCATTGCAACACATTGAGGTCGCTGCCGATGGGTCTATCTGTGCACGGATGATGCTCACCTTCACTCGGCTCTCACTTGAAGGCAGCATGGGAAGGGTGGCAAAGGGTGGGATGGGGAAGTGGGAAGGGTCTGGAACATGGTGGGGGGGATCGAGTGCAAAAACGCCTGATTCTTCTTGAAGACATTCGCAATCTCGCTCATGATCATCGGGACATCTTTGACCAAACTAATGAACACCTTCTGCAAGAGGCGGTCCAAAACGGATCGCTGCAAGGATATCGGCATGACATGTCTCAATGCAGAAGAGCGACCATGGTGCAGTTTGAATGGAGATCATTGCTAAAGCCAATCTCATTTCCACAATGCACTTGGATCTGCGCAGGGTGCCAAGGCTCTCAAGGATGCCAAGGATGCAAACGAAGAAGCATCGAAACTCGAACTTCCACTGGGCGGGGGCAGGCCGTTGAGATGTCAATTGGAGTGACTGAAGCCTCTTCCTGCGGCAATGCAGCAAGTAAGGGAAGCTGTGAACCCGACATCTAGGGATGTTCCCCCTTTGACTACCAGTCCTTAGTAGGGATTGTAATTGGGGGGGGGGGGGGGGATACTATAATCCCTGTATAGGGATTATAATAGGGGGTTCTATCATCCCTGCTTCGGGATGTTTATAGGGGGTACCATAATCCCTATACTAAATAGGGATTATAGGGGGTACTATCATCCCTGTGAAGGACCGTTAGCATAGGGGGGAAAATTGACATCGAACAATGAGAGGCCTCGGCAGTGATCATCCCGGAGGCAGCACGGCTGGACCTGCAAGTGGAATTGAATGGTTTAAAAAAAAAAGAGCTATAGGGTTTAGCTTAGGTTTAGGGTTTAGGGTTTAGGGTTTAGGGTTTAGGACCCTCTTATACCCCAAATAGAATAGAATCCCCATACAATGGGACACACAAAAAGGCTATCCCCCATTTTCGGAAACCCTCATGTCGCCTCATGGGAACCTACAGGAGTCACAGGGAAGTACCACGCAGACCTATGGCCCTGCCCTAAACCCTAAACCCTGACTTCTCAAAGCCCTCCGATCTTCACTCTCGGCCTCTCATCCTGCACCCGCCGCGCGTGCTGATGCTTCACGCAGTACTGGACGGCCTGGAACCAGTGAAGGCATGGGCCACCGACAACTTAAGATCTCCACCTTAGGGTTTAGGGTTTAGGGTTTAGGGTTCAGGGTTCAGGGTTCAGGGTTTGGGGTTTAGGGTTTAGGGTTTAGGGTTTCGGGCAGTGGCACAAACCCAGTTCCATGCAGGAACCAACCTAGACATCCACCCATGCTACGCAGTCCTCCTCGGCCGAGCCGTCCCTCCCAAAAGCACAGACCCTCCGTTCTAACCCAGCAGCTACCATATTTCAAGGTTCGTGCGACTTATGTCAGCACCGCCCAGAAAACGCCCTAAAAAGGGCAGCCCGGATTCTCAGAAACTCCCTTGTAGCCTGGCTTTACTGGCTCTTCCATGCCCTGGGCCCATCCGGAATGAAGGGCCTTGAGCCTTCCAGGAACACACGCCCTGAAACCCTAAAACCCCATGACCCTACACTGCCACCAACCCTAAAACCCATCCTAAATCCGAAGCCACTTAAGTCCCAAACCCCGAAACCCTAAAACCACTAATCCAGAAACCCCAAAAAACCCTAAACCCCAAACCCCAAACCCTAAACCCTAAACCCTAAACCCTGCCCGCTCCTCCTCCACAGTGGGGAAGAACCATTGGTCGCCAATGAACTTCTTCAATCCCGCCTGCGCTTGCTGGTTAAGGGCAAGGGAAACTTGGAGGTTCGTGGCACTTGTTAACCCAAGAATAACTGTGCTTATGACCCAATTATCAACCTATTAGGGCACTTAAGGAGCTTATATAAGTGGCCTAAAAGTACAGTTCTCATTGCTGATTAAGTACCATGAACCTCCAAGTACTTAACAGAATGGTTTAAAGAAACGAGATAATAGGATATATAGGGATATGAGTAAGTATCAAAACGGTAAGGTATATAGAATCGTTGATGTGGGTTGTAACAAGTCTTATATAGGAAGCACTCCTGAAGGTTTAAGTCAGCATTTAGCAAGGCATAAGCACCATTATAACGAACACAGAATTGGGAAACGCCGACATATGCGTTCTTTCGACTTATTTGATGAATTCGGGTTTGATAACTGTAAAATAGAACTTATTGAGTTTTTTCATCAAACTCAAGGGAAGAATTAAGAAAACGAGAGGGTCATCACATACGAGATGAAGATTGTGTTAATAAGGCAATAGCAGGGAGATCAAAACAAGAATGGGCTAGAGACAACTACGAGAAGAACAGGGATTCTCTTCTTGAAAAAGCACATAAGTATCGCCAAGAACATAAAGAACATATGTTACAAAACTGTAAAAAATGGAGAGAGGAAAACAAGGAGAAGAAATCAGAAAGTGCAAACAAAATCGGGAAAAAATTGGGAAGTCATCAAGCAGAGACAATGTGCTAAAACAAACTGCGTGTGTGGAGGAAAATATACTCATCAGAATAAAGCAAGACACGAGAGAACTAAGCGACATTATCAATATGTAGAAAGCCTGAATGAACATTAAACAAATAAAATCTAGTTAATTACGACAGGCCATCTTGGCACATAAAAAAAGCCCCAATGAAAACAGAAGAAGGAAGTGAGCCAATGCCCCCGCGCCTAGCGGGTTCATAAGCAAACCATAAGAGTTTGGTAATGACATTCGTTCGTAATTAGTTTCGTTAAATCTTAAGGTAAAATCTTGTTATAAATAGTTGTATTTATAACAATATTCTAACATACAATATGAATAATGCCAATAAAAGTAGATAAGATATTAGCTGATTTTGAACCATATACTGAAACAAAGAATGCTGTTACTAGGAAGTGTTATCGTTGTAAGCAAGTCAAAGACATAGATTGTTTCAAGCGTGTGTATATAGTTCGTAAGAAACATTATAATAGTTGTTCTGTTAAATACACCTTGACTTGTTCAGAATGCTTAGAGAAGTCTGTCAAAAAATAGAGATAATATTTCTGAGGGAAATGACTTAAAGAAATAACAACTTATATATTATCGTGGTAATGAGTGAGAGCGAATATGAAAGCGAGAGTGAATATGAAAGTGAGAGTGAGAATGATGAAACATATCTGTATCATCAGATATCCAAATCTAATTATTTCAATAGATGCGATAAGTGTAACCCAGTTAAGAATATACAGAATTTTTTACAAGATAAGTGCGATGTCTTACATAGCTTTAAAATCAGATCGTAGACTACTATGGTTGTGATAAATGTTGTAAGTTAAGAAATTTGTTTGATGATTATATATTACCCTTTACTAAGTTAAACACATAGCCAGAATATGATGAAGTTCATGAAATGATGCGAGATGATGCTCAAAAGAAAGATTCTACACTTGAGTTGCATATTGAAATGAAAAACAATGTATGAGAACCTAGATACATTTGACTTCTATCAATGGCATCAGGAGAAGAAGAATTATTTCAAAGATGGTTTATGTGGTTATTTTAATTATTATCAAAGAGTATATCATATGGGGCAAGGTACCAACGAACTCTCTCATCCCCAGCCCCATTTGATGGCCACTGGAACTGGGCCTTCCGCAGAGTCTTCTCGACCCGATTGCCCACCATGGCGAATGCCACCTGTCGATTCTGGTCGGGAGGGTTCGGGGTTCGGGATTTGGGGTTTAGGGTTTGGGGCTTAGGGTTTGGGGTTTGGGGGATTGGGGTTTGGGGGTTGGGGTTTGGGGTTTCGGGTTTCGGGTTTGGGGTTTCGGGTTTGGGGCTCAAGGCTTCACGTCTAGGCTTTCGGGTTTAGGAGTTTAGGGATGTATGGATTCAGGGGCTTCAGGGTTCAAGGGTTTCAGGCTTGGTTCGCCAAACTCCTACGAGGCTTTAGAGCGCTTCAGGCGATTGAAGCTGGGGATTTTCAGCCCTAAGCCCTAAGCCCGAAGCCCTAAACCCTAGCCCTAAACCCTAAACCCTAAACCCGAAACCCTAAACCCTCATGCAAGGCGGAGCCTGCATGCCCCTCATGCGGAAGTCATTGACCACATCCTGTCGGTTCCGCAATGCTCAGCCGGAACCCTGGTTTAGGGTTTAGGGGTTTAGGGGTTTAGGGGTTTAGGGGTTTAGGGGTTTAGGGGTTTAGGGGGTTTAGGGGTTCAGAAGACAGAAGAAAGAGTGTCCTTGATGACGTGGCAGGCAGACGAGTCCACGCTGATCACCGGCGTCATTTCCAGCACTATGTACCTACTATTTGCTTAAGAACCCCAAAAAAGTAATAAAATAAAAGAATAATAATGCATAATACATAAACAAAAAATAAAATAAATAAATACAGAAAGAAAATGAATAAACAATAGTCCATATATTGCCCGTATTTGTTTTGAAGTTTTGTTGGGGGGTTCTTAAGCAAGTAGTAGGGAGTTAAGCACCAAAGAAGTCGCACGGCTGAGAGCCGAAGATTCCTAGGTCCTAAACGCTCAGAAGGCCCTAAACCCTAAACCCTAAACCCTAAACCCTAGACCCTAAACCCTAAACCCTAAACCCTAGACCCTAGACCCTAAACCCCGACCCCGAAACCGATCTTGAAGAGCACTCTGTCTTGTTCACCAGCTCGAGGTCACTGACATGGGCCAGCAGCATATCCTGGCGCCAAGGCCGGGTTTAGGGTTTAGGGTTTAGGGTTTAGGGTTTAGGGTTTAGGGTTTAGGGTTTGGCCATGGCCAGCCTTCACGAAGGACGCGTTGGCAAAGTACCTTTTACTCGTAGGCGTTAGGGTTTAGGGGTTTAGGGGTTTAGGGGTTTAGGGGTTTAGGGGTTTAGGGGTTTAGGGGTTTAGGGGTTTAGGGGTTTAGGGGTTTAGGGGTTTAGGGGTTTAGGGGTTTAGGGGTTTAGGGTTTAGGGGTTTAGGATGGTTTAGGATGGTTTAGGGTTGGGGTTGCACCTCTGCATCATTTGTACCCTGCACACCCCCCCCCCCCCCCGTGGGCACAGAGATGAACCGATCCGCGCGATGAACACGTTTTGGATGAACGTGCCGCTGCTCTCCTGTGCACAGCGCGGGCAGTGACTGGGAGCGGCCAAACCACGCATCCCAGCATCGTTGGGTTTGGGGCTTATATAGGGTTTGGGGTTTAGGGTTTAGGGTTTGGGGTTTGGGGCTTAGGGTTTAGGGTACTCGCAGGAGCGCCCTTTAACACGTAAGGTTGAGTGCCGCCTCTCCTGCTTCATGTTTCTGTAGATAGAAGTCCCAGGTATGCGCCACAGGATGGTAATTTGCGGTCCTCAGGTTTGTCACAGTGCAAGAGAAGCCCGGGAGAATTGTTCAGGCTTCAGGGCGTAGGGTTCACAACCCTAAACCCTAAACCCTAAACCCTAAACCCTTAAACCTAAACCTCAAACCCTAAACCCTGAGCCCTAAACCCTAAACCCTAAACCTCAAGGTCCTGATTTATCAGGTTTAGGGGTTCCGTGGCTGAGCATCCGACTGGCCGACTCATAGATGACGATGGTCAACGACAGACCGACCTTGAGAAGCGCTCATGGGGCTTTTGGCTGTATAGGGCGTATGTCATACAAACGTTCAGGGTTTAGGGTTTAGGGTTTGTGGTTAGGCAGGCTTTGACCCGAGTTGTTGAGGTTGGTTTGGGGTTGAGGGGTGGAGGGCTCCAGAGTTTAGGGTCTAGGGTCTAGGGTTTAGGGTTTAGGTTGAGGGCAGACTGCAGGCTGGTAGCAGCAACCATGATGCCCATCAGAACGCCCAGGAACAGCGTCCCCAAGAACGCGGTGACCTGGGCACTTTTTGTGGAGTGGGTTGACATCGAGCCTCTGGGCCCTTTCTTGGTGCCCATAGGCTGCAAAAAGAATAGACTTGAATAGACAGAGTCCGCAAGATTTGCCCGGCCTCTGCCCAACGGCCCCTGCTTCGTTTAGTTTGTGGTTGGGGTTAGGGGTCTGCAAGGCCATTCCATACTCACCCCGCCTCCCCCCCCCTCTTGCCAGGTCATGAAGCGGACAAGAGGCCTGAGCACCTACATGCTACATGGGCTCCCACCCTCAGCAACTTTTCCGCAGTTGATGAACGACTTCTCAACATGGCCCTCCTCCTGAACGCGCAGACCACGCAGACCAGATCATGATGCAATGGTCTTCTCCAGTCCAGTACCGCAAGTGAGCCAAAACATGCCAAAACTCTGCTGCCGGAATGTACCTTCTCCGGCAAATAAAATGGGTATCTCCCGAAATAGGGGTACCCCCCCTATATACCCCAAATAGTGTAGAATCCCCTTTTTTAAGGGATCCCCGAAAAGGGTACCCCTATTTTCGGAAACCCCAGGTATCAAGCAGAAGTGGGGCAAGCTGAGGAGCCCGCCCAAAGCAGAAAGTCGTGCTTCTTGACGTGGAAGAGGTGCTTGGCCTGGAACACAGGCTTCCTTTCGTGGCTTCAACTCGGGCGATGCCTCGAAGACCCCTAGAGCCTAGGCCCTCTAAACCCTCTAAACCCTCTAAACCCTCTAAACCCTCTAAACCCTCTAAACCCTCTAAACCCTCTAAACCCTCTAAACCCTCTAAACCCTCTAAACCTTGCTTCCTTCGATGGCATGAGGCGGAAGAAGCCTGTGCTGGCCAAAAGTGGGGAAATTAGCCCACATCCGTTGGAACTAGCGACAGAAATAGCAGGGCGAGCGACTGCACCATAAGCCCTGTATAAACCCTCAACCCCCTAGACAATAAACCCTTTAAACCCTACACCCTCGACGTCCCTAGTCCTAACCCCTGCACCTCCCCCAAGGCGACCAGCGGAATCACCGAGTTCATGACGATGGCGGCCAAGGCGAACTGAACAGCACAGCCACGTCGAGGCACTCTCGGGCTTGACGGCTTAGAGTCCTAGTCCTTAAAAAAGAAAATCAAACGATGGATCATAAAGAACTTCTAATAATACAATTGTTGGTAACACAATGAAGATAATGACAAATCATGTTATCAAAATGGTGATATTGGTAGTAACTATCACTCTGACTGGCAGTCTGCTAGCAGCACACGTCGCGTTGACTGTATGCCTTCTTGGACGGCAATGCATTGTTCTATCGGCTTTTGCGAGGTTTTCAGCAAATGACATGGGCAAGTCACTCTTCCCGTTTTGGTGTTTCGGCTTGCAACGATTAAGTTTGAAGCATGGCAAGACTCGATTTACATAGACGTTTGAGATGACTCGATTTACATAACTCGGTTCAACCTTGACGCAGACATTTGAGAATCCATAGAATCCAAATAACAGGCATCCAGACCATTAAACTGGCTTCGGGTGCAACCAAAAAGACGAAGGCTACCTAAACCCGGGGATCGCTGTCTACGCATCAGTGGCTATGGGACGAGTGCCGCAGAAAGCTTCAGCGATAGGAGCTTGAATGTTCCAAGAGTCAGTGCGTTACCTAAACCCTAAACCCTAAACCCTGTTACCTAGTTCCCCCTGTTGTGATCGTGATGCACCCCCGGCCTTGGGCAAGTGGTAGAACAAAGGTGTAAGAAACCTTGGAAATCCGAGAAGCAGGCTTGGAAACCCTTCTTTCTGCACACCTCCATGATCCGATAACATGTTCGTGTGTGCGTGCGCACCTCTGTGCAGATCTGGGTCATGTCGCGCGCGAACTTGAACCCTACAAGCCCTGTCAACCCTGAAAACCCTAAAGGCCCAATAAACCCTAAAAAACCTCAAAGCCCATAAGCCCTATAAACCCTAAACCCTATAAGCCCGATAAACCTAAAAACCCTCAAAGCCCTCAAATGTAAGAAGCGTGTCCGAGGCGCAGGAGGGTACAAAGCATCACAAGCGCCGTGATGACGCCGGATAGTTGAGTCTGGGCTCCTCCGTCCCAGGGTTCAGGGTTCAGGGTTCAGGGTTCAGGGTTCAGGGTTTAGGGTTTAGGGTTTAGGGAAAATGCGCCAGAAATTGCTCTTTGATTGGACCATTTCTCGCTCGCACTCTTTTCTCGCCAAGATGTGACTGCTTCCTGCACACAACCATCCTCAAGAGCAGCAGAGTTGGGATGCTGGTCTTTTAGTGGCCTCCTGAAATACTCGGGAGAGTTTAGGCTGAGGGCTTCAGGAATCGCCTAATCCCTAAACCCTAAACCCTAAACAGGCTTAGGGCTTTAGGCTTATGGAATCCTCTCAATGCGGATGAGGATGAGAGACCCTGAGGCGACTGCTCCGCAGATAGCACCTAGAGCTCCCGCGTCTGAATTCCGTCTGAAAATTCGAGGGGAATCCGGGGAGTTCCGCAAATTGGGGCCTATGCTTAAGGAATCCTTCGAAGGGGAAATCGGCTGTATTTTGGGGGGTCAGAGGTCCCCCCCTCTCCCCATTTTCTTGGAAACTCCACGGAAATGCTCAAAAACGATGAAGCATAGCGCGTATCACTTTGGCTCCGGTATGAGCCTGTAGCGTCTCCGACATGCCTCCTACATCGGCACGCTCGCAGCTATTGCGGTCGATGCCATTAGGGAGCCTTATCAGCACAGCTATGGCCCTGACTGCCGACAGCCAAGGCCAGAATTTACATAAAAACTAAAAATCATCAGCCGCGCACATGCACACTTTCCAACCAGTCACCTGGGTCGACTAGGAGAGCTTCTGAGAGAGCCAAGCGTATAGCTTCGTGGCGGCCAGCGGTAAGCTTCGAAAGGCCTGACAGATCCTGCGCGAATGCTGCGGAGTCATCCGATCGTGGCACCACTTCGCCGCCGACTGGGGGGGCATTGGCAACAGCATGCTCGTGGGGCATGCTGGTCTTAGTTGCCGCTGCCGATGTCTCACTTTCTTTGCGGTACTCCTCCTTGGATGCTCACGAATGCCAATGAAAAGTGCTTGCTCCAAAGAATACGAAGAACACCAAACTAGGAACTCCACACCCCGCGTGTTCCCTCGTATCAATCCCCAAAAAGACCCTCATCCGCTTGTAAATCGTTTCGCCGCCAGACTCTAACTGAGGGAGGGGTGTTTTCGGAATGAAAGTGACGAAGAGCAAGGATAAATGTGCACACCCTCAAGATCAAAGCACAGCCTGTCTCAGAGTAAGCTGGCGGCCACCCAATCCGACTCATCCTCCTCTTCATCAATGGTGCTCAGCACACGATGCTTGCAGCCAAACGCCTTGGCCGCGCGAACCCCCAGAACTCTAAGGACGTTCAGAACCCTCGGCTTCAACCCCAAGTAGGGTTTAATTAGGGCTTAGGGTTTAGGGTTTAGGGTTTAGGGTTTAGGGTTTAGGGTTTAGGGTTTAGGGTTACATCATAGTACCCTGAGGTGTTTAGGGTTTCAGGGCACAAGGAGAGCTGGGAACAGATTTAGACAGGCTTGCGTAAAGCTGTGTGTATACCATTGTCTACCAGCCAGTCCCGCTCGCCCCACCACTACCAGTAGCATCACCCCACCATGTCAGCCTCCACCCTTCAAAAGGCAACTCCCCCGATACCACCGACGGCCTCCTGCGAGGTTTGCATGGCGATGGCCGGCAACGTGGCAGGGTGTGGCGGCAGCAAAAGCACTCAAATCTCTCAAGACTTGAGCTCCCACGGAATGGCAGCGGACCGCGCTCTACCCGTGGGCCCTGCACCATAGTCGGCACAACTCCGTAGAATCACAAAAAACCCCAGCAACCCTTTAGCTCCATGTTGGCTTGGATCTCCCATACCTACACCCCCAAACCCGGTAACCCTTGCAGGCGCCTGTGGAGTTGTTCACCGCGGAGCGCGAGAAGCTTCAGGGCCGGCAGGTCAGTGGATCAACCAAACAGGGGTACGCAACTCGAAGGATACTTGTGAACTAGAGCCGGGAGTAAGCTGGGAAGAACAATGGGTACCCTTTTTGGCTTTAAGGGGATCATAAGGGAACCCCAACCCCTTTAAGAAAGGCAAAAAAGGGCCTACTCCCGGTCCTATAGTGAGAAGTCAACACTGGCCTGCCGGTAACCGGATAGCAGGAGAATGCTGCGCCAACGAGATTGGAGATGCCCAAGGCTAGCATCTCCTGGCCCGCCTCGCATGCGAAGTTGCCGGTTTAGGGTTTAGGGTTTCGGGTTTAGGGTTTAGGGCTTAGGGTTTAGGCCTAAAGGACTTGACGAAGGATCAGCTCTCTCTATGCGACCACCTCTTAAATAACTGACTTTACAATGCCTGACATGACCAAAAGGTCCCACACGCTTTTGGGGGATACCCTATACAGAAGGCCCGTATCCTCTTCCGCAAAGGACCATAATTTCTAGCACACCCCGGATGAGATCTCCCTGAGCAAGCACGGCTTTTTGCCCCCCTTTTCCATTCAAGCGCTTCGGGCAGCGTCGGGAACGTCGGGGCCCAGCGCTTCTTTGACCTGAGCTTGGCGTGGCCGTCGCCCGAAAGCTCAGCCGCTGCACCGGCCAAGCAAAAAAAAAACACCAAGAAGGCTTAGTCCCTAAGACCCACACAACCCCCGAAGGGCTGTCAGTATTAGGGGTGTTCTAATATTAGGGGGAAGGGATTGTGGTTGAGGGGTGGGGGTTTGTTCGCGGAACTGAGGAGGTTCGTGGCTTCAAAGGTTCGGGGTTTATTGCTTATTAGGGTTCTTCTAGGGCACGTGGAACAAGAAACCTTGGAGAAGGTTAAATAATGTTGCAGCACGTGTCTGCAGCATTTGCAGCACGCTTCGCCGCCCGCTCGCTGTAGCCACCGGGGCGAGCGGAATGCTCCTCTGGCCTGGGTCGGCAAGCGAAGCAGACCCTGTACACCACCAAGAATATACGTCACAATACCAACAAGAAACTTATTGTGCTTCGTATAACATGCTGTATTCACTTTGGTCCTAATTTCTGCACGTACTGACCAGCGAGACGAGCCGGTTGGCGCCTTTCCCTTTCGTGTGCACACCACCCCCCCAAGCTCTCGCGACACGCCGCGTGCTTTGCATGCCACTTCAGCTACTCCTGCACGCCGCTGGAGGGCAACGCGTGGCTATACCCACTTCCAGGCAGATGCGGACGGCCACACACCTGCATACCAGTCATGCTGCCCCAGTACACAGGAAGAAGGTCCTTGAGATCTGGGCTAAGAAAGCTAGAAACGCGGCTGACAAGCAAATGGGGGGGGGGGGGCCTGTAAAAGGGGGGGGGGGGGGGGCAAAAGGGGGGGGGGGCCCCCGCAGCCGGTGTTCCTTTCCCTTAGGCCCTATGCTATACCCCACTCCCTCCCAGAAAGAAGAAGAAATCAATTAAGGCGACCCTGAATTGAATTGGGGACGGTGGGGACGGGACACCTTAAGATTGATTCGGTCAATCCTTAAGGGGGGGCAGGGGACCACCCCCCCCCCCCCCCCCCCCCCCCCCCCCCCCACAGCCGTTTATCTCTTTGATTTTCATACCACTTAAGGGTCGGGGTCGCTTTTTGACCCAGCTGAACACTTGAGAGAAGACTTGTAAACGACAACTCTCGCGAGCTCCAAGGAGCTAGCTTTCGTGACTTTCCTACGGGCAACTCCACGGGAGACCGGTGCTGGGCTGGGTGAAGAAGCACAATCCAGAGGAAACAATGCTGCGCGCCAAGATGTTGGCAGGGTGGATCGTCGGTTGGATGATGCATGCACGCCTTAGCCTGCCAAAAACTCTGTGCATGACTAGTTCTTGCATAGTACCAAGTATTAATGTACGCCATAATGCATCGTACATCCCCAAACCCCTCTGCCCCAATGCCCACTATGAGCCCTGAACCCCTAAACCCTAAACCCTAAACCCTGAACCCCTAAACCCTAAACCCTAAACCCTGAACCCTAAACCCTAAACCCTAAACCCTAAACCCTAAACCCTAAACCCTAAACCCTAAACCCTGAACCCTAAACCCTAAACCCTAAACCCTAAACCCTAAACCCTAAACCCTAAACCTAAACCTAAACCCTAAACCCTAAACCCTAAACCCTAAACCCTAAACCCTAAACCCTAAACCCTAAACCCTAAACCCTAAACCCTAAACCCTAAACCCGAACACAGGCGCATCGAGAGAAAGAAGGGGGCCACTGGCCGAGGCGCAGCGTGGACCACACCGGGCCCGGCCGGCGCTCTCCTCGGCTGTCTGGACTTCCCGTGGAAGAACCCTAAACCCTAAACCCTAAACCCTAAACCCTAAACCCTAAACCCTAAACCCTAAACCCTAAACCCTAAACCCTAAACCCTAAACCCTAATGATATGATGACCCCTTAATGGAGGCTGAATTTGGGGAATTTCGGGCTTGGGCTTTTGGGGCTTCTTCTCAGATGGTCTAGGTGCCCCCAAAAAGGTCGCAGCCGAAACCCTAAACCCTAAACCCTAAACCCTAAACCCTAAACCCTAAACCTGCACCCCAAGTCTCCAAAGTGCCGGCTGCGGTAGTCCAGCATGGCCGGGCAGGTCCTGACATCTGCTTCGATGTGGTTCTTTGGTAGTTCTCCAAAATGGCGTCCTAGGGTCTAGGGTTTAGAAGGGTTTAGGGTCCTATTTTGGGGGGGGAGGGGTCCTCACTAGCAGGCTACCGCAAAGTAGCCGGCGGGTGGGAGAGAGGGGGGAGGAGGGGGAGGAAAAAGGGTCACCGAATTCAGGGAGAAAGGACCTCACGGCTGCTTCTATCCTAAGCTTGACGGCGCATATTCGGCGGTCTCCTGAAATGGCCATGTCCCGAAAAATAGTGGTACCCCTAATTTCCCCCCGAATAACAGAATCCTTGTTATGGGAACCCCCAAAAAAGGGAACCCCGAATACTAGAATCCTTATTATCGGAACCCCCTAAACCCTAAACCCTAAACCCTAAACCCTAAACCCTAAACCCTAGACTCTAAACCCCCAAAAAGGGAACCCCGATTTTCGGAAACCCCCCAACTGCAGGCTGAATCCGGGCCTCGCAGCCTCCATGAACTCGGCCTGGGCTGGACCGTCGCTTTGCTTTCTGGACCCCTAAGCCCTAAACCCTGAACCCTAAACCCCAAACCCTAAACCCCAAACCCCAAACCCTAAACCCCAAACCCCAAACCCTAAACCCCAAGCCCTAAACCCCAAACCCTAAACCCTAGACCCTTGCTAAGCCTTGTCGGGAGCTGCACGCTGGCTCTCATAGTCCAGCCAAGGCGCCCAGGAGTCTTGAGCTTCCTTGTTGTCTCGGAGCATGGCTTCGCGCAGCTGCGTCAGTTGAGCCACCTTTGGAGCAAGCTGAATTTGGGCATTGATCATCGTAATACATATAGTACGAATTATAGTGTTAATCACAGTAGTGATTCTAGTATTAATCACAGTAGTAGCTCTAGTACTAAGTATAGTATTGCTTCTAGAAATTTGTCATAGTACTCATTAATTATCGTACTCATCATCGTATTAATTATAGAATTAACTCTAGTACTTATAGTAGTATTGAAGTAAAGGATTGTGGTGTTTCCTGCATTATTTTCGTAAATTATTCAGAGGTCCCAGTTTGTGGTCTCTGTGTCAACTCATCAGCCCGACCTTCGGCCCAGGGTCAGCTGCGGGCGCCTTCTCAACGAGAAAGTTGGCATGGTGGACCTTGTGGCCAGGTCGCATATAAAAAAAATATGTAGGCGATATAGTATGTATGTATATAGTGTGTGTATATATATATATATATATTATAGTGTATACAGTATATGTATAAGTAGGATTGGTTGGGATGTTCCCCTTATACTAACAGCTCCTTCCTAGAGGGGGCCACGATATCCCTATTAAGGACTGGTAGCATGAGGGGGGAACATCCCAAGCGATTTTTTGGGGCCCTGGCCATCAGGGGCTGCGGAAGTGGCCCTGAGAATGCCATGGAGGACGCCCAGATGTTGCCTGGGCCTTAGGGTTTAGGGTTTAGGGTTTAGGGTTTAGGGTTTAGGGTTTAGGGTTTAGGGTTTAGGGTTTAGGGTTTAGGGTTCCTGGGCCAGCCTACTGCAGTCGCTACTGCGCCATGTATGATGGAGGCTGAACCCTAAACCCTAAATCCTAAACACTAAACTCTAAACCCAGCTCTTCAACAAAGATGCACATCTTCCGACTTTCAGGCAAGTTTACTGGGCCATCTCTGCCATCGCAGGCCGAATGTCTGGGCTGCATGCCCAGAGTAAAGGGAGTTGTTCACGACCTTTTAGGGTTTAGGGTTTAGGTTTAGGGTTGCTCTCAGAAAAAAAAAAAAAAAAAAAAAAAAAAAAAAACGACATCTGGGCTTCGGCTGATCTACCACGGAATGCCCGGCCCTTCATGAACCGGCTCTACGGCACGTCTCGCACGGACAACACCTTTCAAAGCAATCTAACCCAACTCGAACATGGGAGATATGACAGACAGGTGACCCTCTGGTCCAACGCCTGGGTGCGGCTGATCTCAGCATGCACAAACTCCCAGAACGCCCGACCTGGGTGTTCCAAGGTAGAAAAGCTGATCCAGCGCCTCCCCTCGTCTCCGTCAAGCAGCATGCTGGGCTGTTCCTCATGGCCATGAAGCCTTGGCAATGCTGGCATCAGAAACATTATCGGTGACACAAAGAGAGCGCATAGGCTTAGTCGACGCTAGGCGTTGTGCAACACATCAGCACGACTTCACCATAAGAAAGCCGCCAATGTTCACTCCAATGTCTTCGAACTCCTTCGAACAGGGCTGGTTCAGCAAGTGGAGTGCCTCTATGTGCTGGCACATCCCAGGTCACTAGGCTGCTGTGTCATGTCATGCTGGCACAGATCCTGCTGAAAAACGATGTCGGTACCATCTTGCATACACTGCTGGACGATGTCGAGAACCTCAGCGTGCTAAATCGGCAGAGACTCAGTCACTGCTGGCTCAAGGACGAATTCTGTTTCATGGCAACAGCATAAGATGAGGATTTCCCGAAGTAGGAGTACGGCACGGTAGGCCCATTTTTTCCGAAACTCCCATACAACAATGCTCCCTGGGTCTGCGGCAGGTTGGAAGTACTGAACATCCACGTCTGTAAAGAGGAAGATTTCATCCTCGTCCTAGGAGATTTTCGGGCTTGAAGGGCTTTAGGGTTTGGGGTCTTAGGCTTAGGGCTCTGGGCTTTCGGCCTTACAGATTTGGGCAAAATGGGGGCATCAAACGGAGCAGCACGACCGCCGAGGCAGGCTCAGGAGAGAACATCCCAAGCCCCCGGCAACCTCGTCGAGCGCCTTGCCTATCTTGGCAGACTTGTACCTCGGGAGCTGATCTGCAACATGAGGTACACACCATAGTGCCTAAACCCTAAACTCTAAACTCTAAACTCTAAACCCTAAACCCTAAACCCTAAACCCTAAACCCTAAACCCTAAACCCTAAACCCTAAACCACACCATCCACACCCCCTCTGGTCATGCCGTCAGGGAACAAGTAAGTCGGCATGCCACCACCTGCTCGATTGTTCCCTGCCAAAAGGGGGTGTAGGGTTTAGGGTTTAGGGTTTAGGGTTTAAGGGTGAGTTGAAACCCTTCAGTGGGACATGTGTTTCCCCAGACCCTGGGTACATTATTCTCATTATTTTCTGACCATGCTGGTATACTTTATCGTATTTCCAGTAGCACACCAGCTAAAACCTAAACCCTAAACCCCAAACCCTAAACCCTAAACCGCTTATCCTCGAGGCCTTTGAGATCATCGAGCACGTCCTCGCACAACGTGAGCTCGGCGAGCCCACCAGACTCCTCCAAAGAGGCTACCATCCTCAGCACGAACAGGGTTTAGGGTTTAGGGTTTAGGGTTTCGGGTTTAGGGTTTTAGGGTCTAGGGTTTAGGGTATAGGATAAGAAACCATGCAAGATAACAAAATAAAATCTAATATATACGAATAGCTATAGTATAACAGTAATAGCGACAGCATCATAAGACAATAAAATGCATAAGACGAAAGTACTAATTAACTACAAAATGGAAAAATAGTGTATAAACAAAATCATAGCCGCCCCAGAACATTACAATAATATACTTAACACAATATCAAAATCAAATCCAAAATAGAAACAAAAGAGATACAACAATGGTAGAATGGAATAGTAATAAAAAAGCAGTAATAAGATACAATCAGACAACAATATACTTATACAATATATGAGCACGGAAATCTACATCCGGGTCCCCCTGTCATTGACCGGAATGTCATTGATCTGGACATGCAACATGCAACGAATTCTATCTCAAGCCCCATGATTAGAGGAGGGCATATCGCTGCTTTCGCTGAGGCTCTGGTCTCTCAGCGGTACAAAGTTCTGGTCATAGAAGAAGAAGAGCTTCCTTGCCAAAACCCTAAACCCTAGACCCTAAACCCTAAGCCCTAAGCCCTAAACCCTAAACCCTAAACCCTTTAAGGGAGTATATGGGGTACCTCATTCCCCTCATTCCTTACTACGAACCAGCCAGTAATTGGCATCTTCGCGTCATCTTGCCCAGTAGAGAGGCGCCCCCATGGCGGGCAAGGAAGGATTTGTAAAGTCTGTCTTTGCAGAGTGCAGCTGCTGGGCTGAGTAGGATGAACTGTACTTGGCTGCACTTAGGAGGGTAGCTATAAATTAAATTTTTAGCTGCCTTGTTAAGAAACCCAACAAGCCCAAAAAAGGCTAAAGATCTAAAGTTACAGTAAAGCGCCACAAAGTGTAGAATCCCAGCACCAGCCAGGATTTAATCTACAGCACCTTGCACCGGCGGTAACATGCTGTTTCACTGTTTCAGAGCCTGTTCCATCTGATCTAGGAGTCTGGAGCCAGAGCACAATCTTCTTGTCGACCACGGAAACATTCACCGCACACAACACTCAGGCCTCTATCTCGTAGCCATTGGCGTTCGCCAGGTTTTTGCCAATGGCAATGGACTCCATGTAGCCGATCAGGCAAGCTGACCTGCAGAATGAGACGAGATGAGAGGGCAGGGTTTCGGGTTCTTTTCTCAATCCTTGGGGTTTAGGGTTTAGGGTTTAGGTAGCCTTGACCACTTGGGCCCCAGGCATTGCAGTTCCAACGACGGCGGGAATCTTGTCCAATTGCCAGCTGTCGATCTGGCGGGTGCTTGGGAAAGAACACTGAACCATATACTGTATCACCCCAAAAGGCTCACTTTTCATCTCAAAGTCAAGCTTGAAAGCACTGGAATGGCACAGGCTTGTTCGATACTGAGGGTCAGGCACTCAGCGGAAATAAGCCCGACGGAATCTCCCCCACCTGGCAGCTCCCCAGCCTCCTCCCTCGTTGCCATCCAGCACCCAGAGGACCCAAAATCCCTTCATGGAGCCTTTCTTAGATTATCATAAGGATCTGAGGAAAACTCAATCTTTCAGTAAATGCTCCTAAACATGATGCCCTTAAACCCAATCAGGGAAAATCTGAGAAAGCCCCGACGGCCTACCCAGAATAAGGGCTTTTGGGTCCTCTGTTGGCCAACAACTGCGGCGCAATGCGAATCTGCGCATGGTGGACGTACTTGACGTGGTACTTCTCGCTCATATCTGGCCACCTGATGGACTCCCCCATGTCCCTAAACCCTAAACCCTAAACCCTAAACCCTAAACCCTAAACCCTAAACCCTAAACCCTAAACCCATGTCATGTTGGGGTGAGCCTAAATGATGGTCCCCTTTCGAGTCTCGAGATTATGGCTTACATCTCTCTACCTAAGTACGCAGATAAGTAGATAAATATGAATAAATATATATATATATATGTATATGTATATGTATGTATGAGATATATTCGCACATGTGAATATAGTAAACAAACAAATACACACAAAAGTATATCTGAAAAACAAACATATATATATATATATATGTATAATATATATATATATATATATATGTATATAAATAATATATATATATATATATATATATATGGGGGGTTGGTTTGGCTACAGAAGAGGGAACATGATAGTATGTCAACCTTGAAGTGGCCAATCGCCGCAACTTTCCCTGCAACCTGTCACAAGGTTTAGGGTTTAGGGTGTAGGGTTTAGGCTTAGGGTTTAGGGTTTAGGGTTTAGGGTTTAGGGTTTAGGGTTTAGGGTTTAGGGTTGATTCTTGCCGGAGCACGCCCAGATCAGCACAGTCCCCGCCACGCAACTGATCAAGGGGCCTGGGGAGCAGGACGTGAAAAGCTGGCGGCTGATTCCAAGACTTAGGGTTTAGGGTTTAGGGTTTAGGGTTTAGGGTTTAGGGTTTAGGGTTTAGGGTTTAGGGTTTAGGGTTTAGGGTTTAGGGTTTAGGGTTTAGGGTTCGGTGAACTTGCTTCCGAGATCTAAGACAGCAGCCCATTGGACCCAGCATCTTGAGCGGTCGGTATCTGCGTCAGTGAGGCTTACGGGCAAACAAGCAGCCTAAGCACACAAGAAGATCCCAAAGCTGAAGGCACCTGCTGGCAATCTGCTTGTTGGTGATGAGATAGGCAAGCCATAGAACTCCCAGTAGAAGGGGCATCCTAAAGGATCGAACGATGTCGGTTTCAGGCTTCAGGCCAGCAGCATGCTTCAGAATGACATCTGCTTGAAGCCATGGTTCGGCTTGGTTTCTTGGATGTTCATCGCAACCTTGGTACCGCGTGCGGAGGGAGAGGGAGGGCGCAATGCTCGGGTTCATTGCCTGCACCGATTCCAAGCCCCAAAGCAATCCGCCGAGGCGTTGGGACGTAGGAGTATGGGGAGCATGAAACAGGCAATCCCCCCACCACCTTGCACACCCCTCCTATGGGTACCCCCCCTTGTCAACAGGTGTGCGGAAGCCGACCGTCTCACCCCAACGCGATGCAAAGCTCTACACCTGTCCTTGCGCGCCCTTGACACCTATATGACCCTGTGCAGCCGCAGAGCTTCAAGGTGTCCTGGTTGCGGACATGTTTAGGGGGCTGCACAGGACCAGTCCGCATAGCGTTAACATTAATTCAGTGAGACTGCCCGAGCGCATCACGCACACCAATACGTGTGGAAACAGCAGCTCCTCGGGTGGTGTACAACGACCTGAGGCCGTCACGTTGATGATGGTGTCGTAGATGTACTGGGACTTCGGAATGTCGTAGCCCAGCATGTACCTTTCTCGGAAGGTGCTACAGATGGCAAAACCACGGGTCGCCAGACGTGGAAGGCACTTGAGCTGGCTGAGCCCGATGATGATGGCAGCTCCACTGGTAAATCCGCTGATGACCTCGGGCCACTGGCACGAGAAGCAGCTCGCTAGCCTAACTAGCAAATGATTCGTGCTGCATCTTGGCGTAACTCCAGGCTGCGACTGGATGGCCCAAGAAAGTGACCAGAAAACCCAGCTTCAGAAGGCTTGCCGCAACCTTCAGATGAGAGAAGCATGTCACATCGTGGCACACGTGCAAACCCTGAACCCTAAACCACCAGAAACTTAGAAGTCCGGATTGGCGCCTGCATTACACCAACAAGTGCCGCTGCAAGGCAGGCGAGGCCCACGTACTCACTGGTGCACACCTGCATAGGGGTTTGGGTTTAGGGTTTAGGGGTTTAGGGGTTTAGGGGTTTAGGGGTTTAGGGGTTTAGGGGTTTAGGGGTTTAGGGGTTTCGGGGTTTCGGGGTTTAGGGGTTTAGGGGTTTAGGGGTTTAGGGGTTTAGGGGTTTAGGGGTTTAGGGGTTTAAGGGTTTAGGGTGGTCCATCCGCTGCATTCTGGATTCACGGAGCAGCGGTGCAGACCAAACGAGATGGGCACGCACCTCGTACTGCGCCTTGCCGGGTACATCGCACTCCTCAGCTCTTCAGCCCTCTTCAGGCCCCCCATTTGAATTCCCAACCCTAAACCCTAAACCCTAAACCCCTAAAGCCCTAAACCCTAGACTCAGTGGCCCGCCGGGCCCAGGCTTCCGTTGAGGCCTGCTTCTATGAGAAGAGACACCTGAGAGGGAGGCGCTTGCACAAGGGGGACCCTAAACCCTAAACCCTAAACCCTAAACCCTAAACCCTCGAGGTTTGTGAGGGGGTTCTGGGGTTGTCAAGATTTCGGGGCGGTGGGGTTTCGAGCTTTGGGCTAAGGTCTGCGCCATGGCAACGGGGCCAACGGCCAGCTGTCGGCTCTGGCCAAACAGGGCATAGACCAAAGTAGGAACCTCAGGTTAGGGTTTAGGGCTTAGGGCTTAGGGCTTAGGGTTTGGGGTTTAGGGTTTAGGGTTTAGGGTTTAGGGGTTAGGGTTTAGGGTTTAGGGGGGTTAGGGTTTAGGGTTTAGGGTTTAGGGTTTAAGGTTTAGGGTTTAGGGTTTAGGGTTTAGGGTTTGGGGGTTTATTCTGCAGGGGAAAGGACTGTGCTGATGGGCCCCATTGGCCTTATGAAGCTTCTGATGAGTGTAGACCCTCGAAATGAGTACCTCTATGTTCGGGAACTCCATTTGCAAGCATGCACGTTGAATCATGCCCATGCCCCTTGAGTTCGTCATGCTCGGTCTCTCTCCGACACCTTGGAAGCCGACGCACGCAGAGTACATGCCGTTGATGTATGGAAGTCCTGACAACCATAAGGTGTTTCTGATCAAACACGTCGTCCCAGATACTTTGCGCGAAGAAGCATGCTACTTGCAACGTCGCCTGCAATTGCTCCGTACGACATGCTCTGAGGGATCACCATGACGCCGACCTAAGCAACAGCTGGCACAGAGGCAGTTGTATCAGTAAGCCTGTAGGATGACTTTGAGGCCAAAGCTGTCAAGCCAGCCACGAGGTCAGCACGAACCTAGGCGAAACGCAGTAAACCCGACTATTCCCTCGATAACCCTAAAACCCTGCAAACATCCCAAGGCCCCTAAACATACGTTAAGTTTCCATACACAGTAACAAAGTGACTTAGTAGGGAGAAATCATTAGGCCCCATTTTTAAGTATGCTGATTATTTCTGAAGAAGCGTACTACCATGTGTGCTCCGAGGCCTCGGGCAGCAGGTGTCTGACTAGCAGAAAGCAGGTACCCAACCTCTAATCCCCCCCAACCGCCCCGGAACAGATTGGACTCCTTCATTGGAAGCCTTTCTGCCCGAGCATGGGTACCCCCTCCCCCCCCCCCCCCCCCCCCCCCCCCCCGAGTTTCCCGGCCGGCTTGTTTTGTTTGTCTTACCACTCCCACATTTGGGGTGCTGGTCTATACAGTGTATACAGGTCTCAACAGGCTTCACACCCGGCATCTCTGGTTTGGGTTGCCTTTGCCACTGGGCAGATTCAGGCCGAGGCGGGTCACGTAGCGTTAAAACTACCGTATAACCCTAAACCCTAAACCCTAAACCCTAAACGGGGGGCCTAACCTTTCTCGGAGCCCACAACCGCGCCTTGTGGAACGTCAGCTGTGGGACCCACTGAAAGAGCGTCACGATCTGGCACAGGATGCAGCTACTCTTTATTGCGGCATCCACTATTCATTCTCTATAGCAGGCACAGTTCTTACAATTCTTGAAGTTATACATGTGCTATATCTTGTCCGAACCACAGCATCAAGTCTGATTCACATGCCCAGGCCTTGCTAACTTTGTCCATCATGGTCAGCTCCTTCCGTTTCCTGCAACAGGCTGCTGTAAGTCACATCCATGTCGCGAACTGCTTGGTCAACATTCTGGGCGGTTGTTTGCTCAGTCCCTGAATTTTAAGCTTGGGAACCACAGAAGGATCCAGACTTGAGGTGAAGTCCCAAAACCCTAAACCCTAAACCCCAAACCCCAACCCTAAACCCTAAACCCTAAACCCTAAACCCTGAAAACACAGAATCGGCTGTTGGAGGTCTTGATGGCCTGGCCTTCGAGGCTTTGCCTTCGGTGTGGCGCTGTCCTTGGGTTTTTGTTTTTTCGGTTTAGGATTTAGGGTTTAGGGTTTAAGGGTTCAGGTTTAGGGTTTAGGGTTTGAGGGTTAAGGGTTTAGGGTTTAAGGGTTTAGTCCTTCTACGGCTTTGCCAGCACTTGGTTTAGAGATTAGGGTGTTTTAAGCTTCTTAACCGATGTCATAAGAGAGACCTCTATACCACTAGGCCAAATCCACGCGCGCAAGCAAACAGTCACTCAGACACCGACAGGCACAGAGACATACACGCTCGCACGCGTGCGCGCACACATGCACACACACACACACATATATTCAGGCACACACACACACCCGCGCGCACATATATATATATATATATATATATATATCTTGGGGGGGGTACCATATATATATATATATAAACACGCACGCACATGCGGGCGGAAGAGCTTTTAGCAGGTTTCAGGTTCAAAGTGCCCAAAACCGGAGACCCCCACGTGGTTGCCCGAACCCGGCAATCCTGCGCAACAATCCGCTTAAGAGGAGGTTCAGCCTCAAAGTACCTGAATACAGCTTCCCTGGAGCGTTGCCAGGCTCGGGCAACCACAGGCACACGCCCCGGCTTTGGCATTTTGAACTTTGAAGCCCGAAACTTCCCGAAGCAGGTTCCCCTACAGGGGCTGCAACCACGAGGGGGCAGTCTGACATCTACTACACGGGGCAATCCAGCTTGCCACGGCGCCAAACAGAATTCTAAGAGACCCGCCCACCCACAAAGACTGTGGCGTAGCTGAAAGGTAGCCCTAGTGGTAGTGGCAGTAGTAGTAGTAGCAGTAGCAGTAGCAGTAGCAGTAGCAGTAGCAATAGCAGTAGCAGTAGCAGTAGCAGTAGCAGTAGCAGTAGCAGTAGCAGTAGCAGTAGTAGTAGTAGTAGTAGTAGTAGTAGTAGTAGTAGTAGTAGTAGTAGTAGTAGTAGTAGTAGTAGTAGTAGTAGTAGTAGTAGTAGTAGTAGTAGTAGTAGTAGTAGTAGTAGTAGTAGTAGTAGTAGTAGTAGTAGTAGTAGTAGTAGTAGTAGTAGTAGTAGTAGTAGTAGTAGTAGTAGTAGTAGTAGTAGTAGTAGTAGTAGTAGTAGTATACGCCAAGGCGGAGTGGGCGAACAGGGTGCACAAGCCAAAAGGTTGACCTTGTGGCTTCTCACGGGTTTAGGGTTTAGGGTTTAGGGTTTAGGGTTTAGGGTTTAGGGTTTAGGGTTTCGGGTAGTTTGTTTACCTTGAAGCGCCACTGTGCAACCCGGTCTTGAAGCTCAGGGCTCATGTTTGGAGTGGAGGGCTTCGGTTCTGGCCGGAGTTGCTGAGCATCTACTTCCAATCGTACAACTTATAAAAATAATACGAAGAATAATCGTAAGAATAATAAGAAGAATAAGAATGAGAATAAGAACAAAAATAAGAATAAGAATAATGCTACCAAGCCGCATCTACCACACCATTGAGGGAATCGACACCTTGGCTGGTGTTGGGGGCAGGATGGCTGTCACTCTCGGCCCCTTGCCCGCTTTGACGAGCAAACGCTCGGCACTATGGTTTCGACAGGATCGAAGGCATGCTTTGATCGGATTGCTGATGAGTTGGCGCTCCTGGCGGGAAGCTACGTGTCCAGCCTTCACGGCATGAGACCTCCCTGAACCCTAAACCCTAAACCCTAGACCCTAAACCCTAAACCCACTCTTAAAGTGGTTCTGCTGGGTTCATGCCGTGCTCCTGCATGATCTCCCGCTGCTCTATCGTAAGGTCTTCGGAGGTTGTCAGGATCTCTATGGACTCGCCCTGGGCACAGGAAACGGCTGGGCCCGGCATTCAGGTGTTGCTTCTGGGGAATGGCCTTTCACGACCGTACTGGCATTAACAAAAGGACTATAAAATAAGTACGAAGATGTACATGTATACATATATATATACATATACATGTATCTATATACAAATATATATACATATTGCACATGTATGTGAATGATCTCTACAAAAAAACGAAGCGGCACAGTGTTGGTTCTAACGAGCTACAGTTGATCCAAGTGTGCACAACGCCATAATTCCAAATCATTTCATAATCGAAATGACTTAAAGCCATGTGCTATTTTGACTCAAGGAATTGAAGTAGCCCCTACTTGCAAAAGAGAGCAAACTAAAGTGCGTCGGTTGTCCCAGTAGCTGTATATATATATATATACATATGCATAATATTATATATATACATACACATATCCAATTATTACTGTTCTGCTTATATATCTAGTGTGTGTGTGTGTAAAGATATATATATATATATAGATGTGTGCTTATGTATGCGTACATATAGTTTTATTTACATATAATGGCAAGGTGCTGTCAGGTGTACTTACACTGATTCTTCTAGGCAACACCTCTTTCCACCTGGCCTTCTCCATTTTGCCAATGAAGACCTCGTCATGCTGCCACTGGGGCACAATCCTCAGCGCAGCCGGCCGACAGCTTGACAACTCACCCGCCCGCCCTAAACTAAACTTAACCTAACGCACACCTGAGACGCGCGCCCACTCCCAATCGCTACTCCATGCATGCCCGCCATATGGCGTTGCGGATTCGAAAGCAGCTACTGGCAACTTGCAACCGGGTATGACCGGGTCATCTCCGTGTGGTGACTTCTACGAGCTCTACTTCCGAATGCTGAGCCCTGTGGCATTTCCTGGCTAGATGATGCCAAAAGTTTTAAAAGCTGCTTGGAGCTTGGACCGCAATTCGAGCAATTGGGGTGATTTCGAAGTCAAGGGGCCCTCTGAAGAAGTCGTCCTACAAACAATTGACATAAAAACACAAGGTCCGCCCAAAAGAGGACCCCAAAATCCCACAGCACTAAGAACAACCCAAAACACCCCCCTCCCCCCCCCCCCCCCCCCCCCCCCCCCCCCCCCCCCCGCGAAACCCGGAAAAAAGGCAGCCACTCCCACAACCCGTGCCATTCCTGTTTAGGGTTTAGGGTTTAGGGTTTAGGGTTTAGGGTTTAGGGTTTAGGGTTTAGGGTTTAGGGTTTAGGGTTTCAGACTAAAGCTGGCAGGGGCAGTGGGGATTGGACAGTCTGAAGCCTTCAAAGACCAACAACTGCACAAAATCCTTACCAGTGCCTCTTTACATTTAGGCCGCTGTGCAAAACACCTTAGGGGGAGAACCTTCGAACCTCCGACGTTCGATGTAACCTTCCAGAGGTTGTGTCTAAGCTTTCTGGCATTCCTTTAAGCTTGAGAGGCACATCGACTCACTAGGGACTCAAGGAGGGACCCTTAGAAGGGACCTTAGGGGTTACGTAGGGGCTACTTGGGTACATCTTATAAGGGACCTTGGTTACGTAGGGGCTACTTAGGTATATAGGGACATTCCTTTCCGTGGGCTTGAGAGGCTCATCGACGCCCAATCAGCCGTCAGCACTCCGCTATGTACAAGGGAACGGGGACATTCTGGTTAACATCTCCACGAGCAGCCCACAGATTTCACAGGCATGCTCTGTCACCTGGGTGCTGAGCAGGTTTAAGAGAGCCGATGCTCGTGGAAGCCTCCGCTCTGCTTCTTCAGCTGTTGCGTCTACAAGATCATCGTCGTGAAGTTCTGCAGGTCTGGAACGCCATCGTCATCATCCTCCTCAACTTCCTGGGCCACGATTTCGGAGGTAGAAGTCTACCCTAAACCCTAAACCCTAAACCCTAAGCCCTAAACCCTATACCCTAAACCCTAAACCCTACATGGGCCCAGCGGGTTCGGGTCGGTCAGGGCGGCTGCCCTGACTGCACCCCTCCTAGGAAGGGCGGGGAAGGACGGAGGCCCTGGCAGCTTTTTGCGCTTGATCTGTTGAGCTCCTCGAATTAGGGTTCAGGGGCTTTGGTTGAGTGGTGTTGAGGGGTGAGGGTTTTTGAAGCTTTTGGAGTAAGAGGGCTTAGGGCTCAGGGGATTCGGAAGCGAATGCGCCCCACCCATGCCTTTCAGATGGCCCTGAAAAGGGCGCAAGAGGTATCACGACATAGCAAATAACAGAACCAAAAGGGCATATGCTCCCTAAAGCCTAGAAGCCCTAACCCCCCAAACTGGCTCTCCAGCGGAGCGTCGGGCATGTCGGCATGGATCACCTCCGTGAGCTTCTTCTCCGAAATCTTGGCCTCACTGCCTCGGGCTGGGCTTCGGGCTGCTGGGCTTCCTTGCCCACGGCTTGGGGCCCACTAAAGTAGGGTTTGGGGTTTATAGGGTTTAGGGTTTAGGGTTTCGGGTTTCGGGCTTAGGGTTTGGGGTCTATACGGTTGCACCAGCAGCCATTAAGCCCCTCGCAATAAGAGCATAGCCATCCGCCAAGCAGCCTCAGACAGAGCGCACTCAAGCTTCACCCCCTCCCCCGCAGACACTCCTGCAACTATAAAACTGTTTTGGAGTTTGAGTAGGGCCCAATGGCGGCGTCCAAAGGATTTAGGGTTGGCTTAAATGAAAATGGTTTACCTCGAGTTCATATGGCTTTGGCCCTGTTTTCCTGCTACTGTGTGAATGGGCTTTATGTGGTCCTTGCAGGTTTGATGCAGGGTCTGTTTCGGAAGATGACGACTAGGCGTCCGGCTTCTGACGTGCTTTTTCTTTTGTCTGCTGGATCTTCTCCTTCACCTGAGCAGCTTTCTTGACAATGGCCCTTGTTGGGGATACGCTGAAATGAAGGATCCGCCCAAAAAGCCAAAAGGGCCATAGCCTCACGAAGCCCCAGACCCTTTGCACAAAAACAACCTCATGAAACCCGATTGAGGATCTGGGGCGCTTGTCGAAAAACGCTAAACCCATGCTAAACCCTAAACCCCTAACCATATAAGGGGGTTTACGATATTCGGGGTACTTTATTGGGGTCCTTGTTTTTGGGAATCCTACTTGTTGGGGGCTTCTATTGGGTGGTTGTCAAAAATATGCTCTATTTTGGGGTACCCTTAATACATAAGGTGCCGTAATATAATAGGGATCCAAAAAGGGACCATAATTTTGACAACCACCCAAAATAGGGGTCCCCTATGTTCGTAAACCCCCCATACCAAATCCGAAACCCCCATCGGCCTTTGCAGCAGCCCTCTCTGCGGCCAGCTTGGCCACGAGCTTTGCCAAGCCTCGCCTGCAGTATATGTTTAGGGTTTAGGGTTTAGGGTTTAGGGTTTAGGGTTTAGGGTTTAGGGTTTAGGGTTTAGGTCCTGCTGAAAAGCAATCTTCATGTCGCACTCTGCCGGGTGTGGGTTTGAGGGTTTTAGCGGCCGAAGGGCTTTAGGGTTCCAAGCCTTTCAAGGGCTTGTGGGTTAAGGGCCTTTAAGGGCTATAAAAGGCTTTCAGGACGATTTTGGAGGGTCAGGGTTGGGCTTCCCGACTTGTTCTGCTCGCCCTTGGGCATCTTGATCACCGCGTTGTGGACCATGCTCTCTGTGACCTTGAAAATTGGGACGTTCCCCCCTTATACTAACAGTCCTTAATAGGGATGAGAATGGGGGTACTATATTCCCTATTAAGGACTGTTAGTATAAGGGGGAACATCCCAACTTGCCAAGAGCTATAGGCTTCCTAGGGCTCATCCGAGGGCTGCGCGGCCCAGACAAAGCCAAGCGGTCCGCCTAAGCCTCTGACAGGAAGCGGAGCGCTGAAACACACACACACACACACACACACACACACACACACACACCCCAACGAAAAAAAGGCGTGGCCGGGGCTGCGGCGTAGCTTCAGGAGGCGAAAGCTCTCGTCGTGATCTGCAAGTTCTGGGGCGTTTTGCGAGGGGCTTTGACCATGGTAGACATAGCGCTTAGATGTGACCAAAACCGACTACGATGTCTCCACCAAGACATGTGCCAGGAGAATGGCACTTGCGAGCCCGAAAAGAAGCAAGCCGCAAGCATTAGGTCCTGAGGCCCGATATTGGCCGGTCTTGTCCCCACCGCGTGGCAGTTGGTGCCAAGGGCGGGAAAGATTGCGGCCAGGTTCATGTTCGTGCTGGCTGAACCTCGATTCTACCAGGAGAAAGGCATTTTGTGTGCCCGAAAAGAGGCAAGCTGCAAGCAGCAGGTCTTGAGGCCCAATGTTGGCCGGTCAGCTAGTGCGGCCACGTTCCCGTTCAGGCTAGCCGGCGGACATTGTGAAACTCATTTGTGCCAGGAGAATGGCACTTGCAAGCCCGAAAAAGAAGCAAGCCGCAAGCATTAGGTCCTGAGGCCCAATCTTGGCCGGTCTTGTCCCCACCGCGTGGCAGTTGGTGCCAAGGGCGGGAAAGATTGCGGCCAGGTTCATGTTCGTGCTGGCTGAACCTCGATTCTACCAGGAGAAAGGCATTTTGTGTGCCCGAAAAGAGGCAAGCTGCAAGCAGCAGGTCTTGAGGCCCAATGTTGGCCGGTCAGCTAGTGCGGCCACGTTCCCGTTCAGGCTAGCCGGCGGATATTGTAAAACTCATTTGTGTCAGGAGAATGGCACTTGCAAGCCCGAAAAAGAAGCAAGCCGCAAGCATTAGGTCCTGAGGCCCAATATTGGCCGGTCTTGTCCCCACCGCGTGGCAGTTGGTGCCAAGGGCGGGAAAGATTGCGGCCAGGTTCATGTTCTCGCTAGCTAAAGCTCGATTCTACCCAGGAGAAAGGCATTTTGTGTGCCCGAAAAGAGGCAAGCTGCAAGCAGCAGGTCTTGAGGCTCAATGTTGGCCGGTCAGTTAGTGCGGCCACGTTCCCGTTCAGGCTAGCCGGCGGACATTGTAAAACTCATTTGTGCCAGGAGAATGGCACTTGCAAGCCCGAAAAAGAAGCAAGCCGCAAGCATTAGGTCCTGAGGCCCAATCTTGGCCGGTCTTGTCCCCACCGCGTGGCAGTTGGTGCCAAGGGCGGGAAAGATTGCGGCCAGGTTCATGTTCGTGCTGGCTGAACCTCGATTCTACCAGGAGAAAGGCATTTTGTGTGCCCGAAAAGAGGCAAGCCGCAAGCAGCAGGTCTTGAGGCCCAATGTTGGCCGGTCAGCTAGTGCGGCCACGTTCCCGTTCAGGCTAGCCGGCGGACATTGTAAAACTCATTTGTGTCAGGAGAATGGCACTTGCAAGCCCGAAAAAGAAGCAAGCCGCAAGCATTAGGTCCTGAGGCCCAATATTGGCCGGTCTTGTCCCCACCGCGTGGCAGTTGGTGCCAAGGGCGGGAAAGATTGCGGCCAGGTTCATGTTCTCGCTAGCTAAAGCTCGATTCTACCCAGGAGAAAGGCATTTTGTGTGCCCGAAAAGAGGCAAGCGGCAAGCATTCTGTGCTGACGGTCTGCCCACAGCCAGGAAAAATAGCGGTCACGCCCACATTCGTACCGATATTCTGCCAAATCTGTCAGCAAAGGAGGAGTTTTGGCCTCAAGCTGAGCCTTTGCGCTAGACAAGGGCCCACTTATACCTGTCTTGGTCCAAAGAGACTCTGATGCAGGACAACCGCATCTTTAGGGCTGACTCTTTAGGGTTTAGGGTTTAGGGTTTAGGGTTCAAGCCATGCCCACAAAGAAACCCAAAAGCCAACCCTGAGAGCCGCGAGCCCTTCGTGGCAACCCAAAAGCATCCTG